GACAAAAATTATGTTAGCCAAAGGGAAGATGGTAAATCTGTAGGATTCCACGTCTGTATTATTTTTGTCTGGGGATATTGCACATACATGTACAGAAAAAAAATGTACTATAGTCTTGATTTTTTTTAAGCATTGTATCTGTAATAAGATTGAATCAAGATGCTTTTGTAAAGGAAATAAGGACTATAATATTTGCTGTATATGTGAAGATAATGGAAATCCTAAGTACTGTACGTTGTGTGGTGTTCATTAAACAGAAATCTTACCACTGGTGGATGAACATTTATATGTATTCCATGTGTTCTCTTAAGTATGGGACATCATGTTTATGAATTTATTTTAGCAGTAAGAAATTGAAGTAGTTTATATTGAGCTACAAACAAAATCAACTGTACAGTATTTTTCTTTCTTCCAGAAGTAGTTTGAAAACTGAATAAAAAATATTCACACATTTATTATGGGGAGTAAAAATTAAGCTGAACTCAAAAATGAGTTTTTTGCAAAGTTTGTTAGATAATAAATACACAGTTTTTGTATTATGTCTCTGCATCTAGTACTGTATATAACCTTTATAAGCTGCATCAGAGCAAATAGATGTTACCATTTTAAATTTACATCAAAGTATTTCTTAAGGGGATAAATCCACATCAACAGTAAAAAACTGGGAAAAAAATGCAGACGCTTTCTTTTGTTTGTTGGAAGGACTAAGAATCAAAAAGCCTGTAAAAATGATGTACTTTTTTGTGTATACCTGCAAAGACAGTAGTTAGTAGCTTAAAGTAATGAATTGGGCAGTATGCTAACAATCAGCAAATCTTTACTTCTACAAGACAGATTATTTTGTCATCTACTTAATTTTTATCATACAGAAGAAACAAGCTGGATGAACTTCATATTCTCATATTCTTTCTGATAATTAACGATTCCTGGGCTTTCAGCTCTGTCAAAATCTGTTTTACAGTGGCAGTTAATAAATTAGGGAAAGCAGCTGAGTGAGCTGGCAGGTGAAATCTTCTTTGCTTGTGACTCAGTTGTTGCTGAAGTGCTATTCAATTGCTTTATCTTCTTTGAATTTTGTTCAAGATAAGCTGTGGTGATTGAATATCTAGTTAGTAAAAAGGGAAAGCCTTCCATTCTGGATAGGTAATAAAGGCATAATTGAGCTATTAGGTTTAAATACATATATATATTGAAGATTTAACTGCAATACAATACAGCTGCAGGTGCACATTAGCAAATTGCACTGATTATGTTACCCAAGGAAATAGTCCAGGTTTAGAATGCCACGCTGTAGTAGTCTGGGACTTGGCAAGCTATTGAAACAAAGTGTAAATTAAGAGTCAATGATAGGAAAGAAGAAGGATGTACTTAAGAAAGAATAAATGCATTTTGGGGTCTCGGAGAAGACAAATCTCTCTTTAGGGAAAACCTATTTGCAGCATTCATAATATACGTCTTCAGAGGCAGTTACCTTTCCATTTTCCTTTACCTCTTTCTCTTGCCTGAAAACCCTTAAGTATTTTCCCTGAAATTCAGGAGTCATCTCAGTTGTTAGCAAGAGTGAGTACATATTTCATAATTCAGTGTATCACAGCAGTCCCATATTGTGATGCAGCTTTCTTGTTCTAGGTACTTATGTGTCGTAACAGAGATTTAATTCTTGATGTTATTGAAATCAGGTGAAGCGTTTTAAACTTACTGTATCAGAGCAGCTTTAACAGAAGTGCAGTCTGAAATACCCCTGAACAGTTCTGCTTGTGATCAGACTGTATATACAAACTGAGATGTTTCTCTTCTAACAGGTAAAGTCGGCCTTCCGTTCTGTCCTGCTGGTGCTGTATTTGTCTCATACTGCATTACTGCATTGGCATTACTGCAGAACCAGCAGAATTCTCAAATTTTGATCTCAGCTTCTTCAATTTCATGCCTTTTGTAGTGGTTTTCTCACCTTCCCTCCTCTGCAAGGCTCATGGCAGTTCAGTAACTGTGCTGTACTTACAGTTGTTTCAAAAGCATAGCAAATGGTTTCTGGTTTTGAAAACCATTTTCAAGCAAGAAGCTTCAGTTGACTGTACCACTCACATTGAAGTGATTGCAGTGGCACTGACAGCATTTTACCAAACTGAGCATACTCCAGTAGTTTGTTGTTTTGACTTTTGGTTGGTTTTATGCTGTTGTTGGGTTTTACATGCAAGCTAGCTTAGCCTAATTGAAAAAGCCTTATTGGTTGTCATGGCTCTCACTAAGAAAAGCTGATTTCCTGCTTCAGCTGCTCATGCTGGGACAAACCACATTAAGGTGGCTAGGAACATCGTAGATGACCGTACTATGGCAGTGAAGTTCATCCATTTAATGAGTATTTAACAGGCGAGTGCAAGCCTGCATCTTCACAGACAAACAGCATGCAAAGATGCATGTCACGTTTTCCCAAACACACACAGAGGCTTTTTCCTGGATGCCCTGACAGGAATACAGTTATCCATCTTACGTTAGTTTCACAAGAGTCCTTACCTACCAGTAAGCCTCCAAAGAAGGGGCTTAGGCTTCTCACAAGGCCTGAGAGAAGTGTAATGCAAGAGCAGTTTCTCAATTCACAAGCATAGGCCAATTGATTTTGTATTTTATCAGTGGTACAGCAGGGAAGCTCATATCCTACTTACTCAGATTGAGTGCAGACAGGTCTAGTGAGACATGTTCAAAGATGAAGTTAATTTAAAGCAAACTGCAGCGACATATTGCACATTTGGCAGATGGAAACAGGTAAGTATATTTCTTAAAAGTCTCTGTAAGTGTGTAGTTCCAGCTCCTGTCATAGGAAGGGTTAGGGGACAGAGCATGGAGCTCGAGAGCGTGCTTCAACAAGAAATGCCAGGGAGGGCCTGAGTTCCCTCTGTAGTTCTCTTGGCTGAGGGCACTTGATCTAGGCTTCACCTGTTCACCGCAGGCTTATATTATGCACTTGATCAATTAGCTAATTATAAAATGAGGCTTCTCCATGAAATACACTATTTGCTCTGTTTTTCTCTGCTGCCCGACGGTAGAACCTGAGGGAATTGCATGGAACGGCATCAGAGGTTAGGCAGGGTGTTAGACACTAGCTCTGCACCAGAGGGCGGTGGGCATTGGGACAGGCTACCCAGGGCAGCGCTTACGGCCCCCAGCTGCAAGGTTTAAGGAGCGCTCAGACACAGTTATCACAGCGCCCCCTGCCGATCGCGCCGCTGCACTGCAACGCGCCGGCCGCTCCTCAGAAGAGGGCAGGCGCTGCCGGGAGCCAATGTCGCGGCGGCAAGGCCAGCTCACGCTAAGCGTAGAGCCGCAGTACTTTAAGCTTCCACAACTGCCATTCCAAGACCACAGAACTCCGACAGGGTGAGTACGGGCCGGCGGCCCCAGACAGCTTCGCAGCCCGCCGAGGAGGTGCTGCGGTCGCATGCTCGTCCGCTCCTCTCGCGCGGACCGCGGCAGAGAGCGGCGCAGCGGGGCGGCTCCCGAACTCCCGCGGCCGCCCCAAGTATCGTTGCGGGCGAAGCCGACTCCTACTCTGCCTCGTCGTCCTCGTGTTGGGCGGGGAGCGCGGCTCCGCCAGTCAGGGGCCAGCCACCCCACCTCCTTTCCCCGGCCCTCCGCTGCCGGAGCGGCCGCAGCCTCGCATCCCCATTCCACCGGCCCCGCTGAGTTGTCTTCTGTTCTACAGTCTGCCGAGTTGGAGCCCGAGGGCACCGACGGGTGTGCCGTGCAGTGTTATTACTCTGTACGTGCTAATATGAACTTCCTGCCATTGAACGAAGCTGAAGCTATGTGTGTTCTGAGCCAAGCCATTCTGACAGAGAAAGCTCTACTGTTTCTTAACATGGCACAATGCTCAGCCAGAAAAGAATGGTCAGTGTCACTGCGTTGTTCCTTGCTAGTAAGTACAAAGAGATAAACGTTCCACCAGTTGATTTTTTTTCCACTGTAACTCCTAATGCTTTCATGTCAGCCCAAATTTGCCAGATGGAAACAAAGAATCTGCAGGCCCTGGACTTTAGTTGTCCTCTCCCTCGACAGTTTCTAAGAAGAGCTTCAAAATTCACAGAGGTAAAGTTAAAAAGAGGTATTTGGTAAGAGTCCTGCAAGATGTAATACTTGATTGTGATAGCTTGTAAAAATGGTTCAAAACTCCCATTTGAGCACTGTGACATTTTATCAACTATTTGCTTTCAGTCACTGAGCCTAGCCCAGACCAAAGCAGAGCTGATACTGCAGGTGATCGCTAGACACCTGTTAAAAAGGTAGCAGCAACCTAACCCAGCTGATCACCGCTCAGTGTCTGAGCCACTGGCACGTCAAGCCTAGAGCTTGAGTGTGCTTCTTAAGGAAGTATTTCTTCCTCCTTGAGTAAACAAAGGCAACACTATTAGTTGACACGATGCTTTTGCTTAGGAGAAGGCCAATACTCAACATTGACTTACTGCAGGTAGATGAGAAACAGCAGTTTCTAGCAAAGTACCTGCTGGATTTATCCCCCTGGATATGGTTCACTTCCTCCACCCATGCTGCTGCTGCTTTCTGCTTGGCAGGAGCTGCAGAGACTTCATCTTGCTTATTTGTTTGCAGGCAGTAAAGAACAAGCATGCCAGGAGCAAAAACTTCAGGACAGGCGTTATGACGCAGCTGCACTCTTTGCTCATCTGCGACCTCGCCCTGCCTCTCGTGGATTCCTTCTGTCAATTCCAGTAGCGTAAGCAACGAGTTTCTATTTATTCTGTCTTACGTATTTTACTTCTAATAATAAAGATTGTTGTTTCCCGCTGCAACCTCGTCCCGTCTGTTCTGAGCTGCGGGTCCGCCGGCGGGAGCTGTGGCTGACGGGCGGGCGGCGACGCTAAGCGAGCACCCGTGCGTCACGTATCGCTGGTTTTGCCCTGCCGGCAGTGGCAGCGCCCTGCCTACAGAAGCCGACGCTCCGCCCCGAGGAGAAGCGGAGCGCTGCCGCCATTGGCCGCGGTGCGCGGGCGGAAGTGCGCGCGACCGGGCGGCTCGCGCTGGTTGACGGGAGCGCGGCTGTTTGAAGGAGAGGCGATGGCGGGGCGGCTGTCGGAGTCCGTCGGGCCCGGGCTGGGCGCCGAGGCCGAGGATGCGGCCGATTCGAACGCGAAGCGGGACGTCCTGGAGCATCTCTGGTTCGTGCCGCGGGGCGGGGAGGGAGCGCCGCGCGGACGGTGGCCTTGAGAGCGGCGCGCGGGAGGGCTAGCGGGCCTGACGGTGTCCTTCGCTCCATTGCAGCGTGAGGACGCATCTGAAGCAGCTGGCGATGGAGTTCAGCACCGCCTGCCCCCACAGTAAGCCGCCGCCGGGGTTCGCTTCCCCGCCCTATGGGGGCGTTCTTGTCGCTTTTCATTCCCCCGCGTCCCTTTTCGCCGTCGGCACGTCTCTCGAGCTACAAATGGAAGCACTCGAAAGCCGAATCGTTCCTCTGGCGCAGCGGGCGGGCGGGCGGCGCGATGCGACGGGCGGGGAGGGGGGGCGCCGTGAGCCGCGCTCCGGCACAGCGCTCCGGCACGCCTGCGGCGCTGAACTGATGGTCTTGCTTTGCAGGTGAAGAGTGCAACAATGGTATGGAGTTAAGCTTCGTCGAAAGGTATGCGATTCCTTACGGTCGAACTTCTCGGTTCGGTTCCCAACCGTTCTGCAGTTAAAACACGCCAGAAATGCTCTTCTGGTTATCACTGCTTGGTAAGAACTCCTCGTGACGATCCTTACTTTGTAAGGGTTCAGTTAAAGCGAGTGAACTATGGCAAAGAGATATTCCTTTCCATCTTCTAGTATAGTTCTGTATCTGCCTTGATTCCTGCCATGTACATTTACAGTCCTTCTGGTGATGGCTGGAATTCAGTAGCATATTTCACCATGTTAAAATATGGAACTTGAATAATTTTTAGCTTAGAGGAAAAACTCATTGCAGAGAGCAAGTAAAGAATTGGAGATTGCTTTTTAACTTCTTTGTTCTTTTCATGTTTGTTTTTTTTTTTCAGTGGCAAAGAAAGTTTGGAAGAATTGGGGAAAGTAAAAACTGCCTTTGAAAGCAAAGCATTAGCCTTACGAAGGTAGATGGCTTTTCTTCCCATTTAGCTGGAGGCTTTCTGCTGCTTTATCTGTGTGCACATGCATGCACAATTGCATAATTCTAATTAAAATAGGATTTCAAAGTGATGTAGCGTGAGAGATTTAACACCATTGAAACCCCAGGAACAAAAAGGCAGGTACCGTAGGAAATAGCAATAAATGAGTAGAAACATATGCAAGCCTCTGAGATCCTGCAAAATTACAAAAAGGCAGTTTGTATGTATATCTAGAAACAAAGCTGTTGGTAGTATTTAACAAATTCCTATGTAAGGGTGGGGGGTGATAGTTTTGTGTCTCCTATGTTGCATGACTGTTCATTTGAATTCCTACCTTTGCCCAGCATCCCTCCTGCAGACTGGGACCAATGGTGTCTGAAGCATATTTATCAAGAGAGAAATGCATTGTTACTCCTACAAATGGTTGATTAATACACTTTTCTTGTCCTGAGAATGAAGCTTCAGTATTTAACAAGTTTGACATTTGAAAGTTACTGTTGTGGTTGTTTTGTTGCTTTTTTTTTTTTTTTTTTTTTTTTTTTATACGCATTTCCAATGCCAAAGTAGATATAAATAGAACTTGGAAATCTCTTTTCTGCTATTTACCGAAATAATCTCTCAGTTGAAATCTGTTTCTGTCAGTGTTCATCAGAGATATGTTTCTTCTTTATACCACCCAGGATTCAGCTTACGGATGCTCTGAGAAAGAAAGTTAAACAAAATGATGGTTGCACACGGTAAGGTTTTTTGAGTTCAAGCTTAGCTTTCGCCTTTGTGATTTTCTCCCTACATATCCTAACAACTTCTTTATACTCTCCACAAGTTGCCTGTCCCTTTTTCCACAGGAGGTAGACACTCTTTTTCTCCTGGAGCCTCAGAAAAAGTTCCCTGTTCAACCATGCCAGTTTTCTTCCCTGCCAGTTACAGGAACAGCACAGGAAGACAGCCTGTTCCTGCACCTCTAAGACTTCTTTCTCAAGGAGCTCTGGCTTTCCTGGACCCCTTACCCTTCAGGACTGAATCCCAAGGATTCAGGGTCCTGAATAGTTCAAAGTCTGCCCTCTGGAAGTCCAAAGTAGCAGTTTTGCTGGCCCCTTCCTGACTTCATGAAGAATGGAGAACTCTATTGTTTCATGATCACTCTCCAAGACAGCTCTCAACCTCCACACCTCCCACTAGTCCTTCCCTGTTCGTGAATAGCAGGTCTAGCAGGGTGCTTCCATAGTAGGTTCTCTTACCAGCTGTATCAGGAAGTTAACTTCCACACACCAGAAACTCAGACTGCTGTTTCTGCACTATGTAATATTTCCACCATATATCAGGGAACCTGAAGTCCCCCATGAGAACAAGGGCTAGTGATCACACAGCTTCTGTCAGCTGCTCACAGCCTTATCTGTCTCTTCATCCTAGTTAAGCAGTCTGTAACAGATCCCCCCACCAGGATATCAACCTTGTTGGCCCTTCCCCGATCCTCGCCAATAGAGACTGAAGCTTATCATTCCCAGCTCTGAGCTCAGCAACTTAAAAACACTCTCTAAGGCAGAGAGCCAGGCTGCTGCCCCTCTCCTTCCATACCTATCTCTTCTGAAAAGCTTATAGCCATCTACTGCAATACTCCAGTCATGGGAGCAATCTCACCATGTTTCCATAATGGAAACTAAGTCATAGTTTGCCTGCTGCCATTTGCCTCATTTCCAGTCCCTGACCTTGGCCTCAGGGAGGTAGCACACTTTCCTACAGATAGAGTGTGGCCAATATATTGGGCCTTCCTTTTCCCTCAGATGGGAGTTGCCTATGACTACCCTTTTTTCCTTCTTGGCACAGGCAGTCTTGAGGCATGGAGTCGATTGCCTCACACTAGACAACCGCTGGGTGGACTTTCCACATGTCCTCACTCACCTCTCGAGATCCAGAGCCTCAAACTTATTGTGTAGGAGTATCTGGGGAATTGAGGTAGGTAGGGACAGGGTTTGCCTGTAACACTGAGCTGGGATCTGATTCCATTCCTCCCTTGTCTCCTAGGTCCCCTCCCTCTGCCTAACACTGACAGGGAGGGGATCCACCACTGTTTGGGGTGTATCACCACAGTGCCTTTCTCACAGTTATGGCAGGGAGTTACTCCACCTGTCTATCTCCTGCTCACAGTCCCTGATGCTCCTCAACCTCTCCACCTGCTCCTTGAGTTCTGCCACCAGGCTGAGCAGATCTTATATGTGTTCACAGCTCATGCAGGTAGTATCCCTGCCACTCTAGCAGCAGCAGCAGGTTCTGACATTCCTTGCATCCAGAGATCTGAACAGCCACATTCTTAGGCAGGCACTCCATCTGATCTCCATTACATCCCTGTCACAGGCGTGAACTGGAACTCCATCAGGAACTCCATCCTTGTCATTCTCGAGTGCTTTGGCTTCCTTGTTTCACAGGCTTTATGACTCAAAGTATCAGACAAATTTAACTGGAACATTAGCAAAACTGGGTGGAAATAAGGAGACTATATAGTGCTTACAACTATATTTGGTATAGTACCCTTTATTTTGGTGTTAAGATAAATGGCCATTTTTTGATTAAATAACTTTGGTTAAAGCATTTATGTTGTTGACGCATCATAATGGTCATAAATAATGAAACTTTATTTCCTTCATTAGACTAATTATGGAAAGAATGAAAGACGTAATCAAGCTCAACTGTGAAATATTTCAAGCTCATCAGGTAAGAGTCGGTTGTACCTTCTGTTGCAGTTACACAGGCCTGCCAACTTCAGTTGGCAGTTTCAAGGAACAGTTTCAAGTGACAGGAATGCACAAGTCATTTGAAGTAGATATGTGGCCCAAATGTGGTTCCTAGGGTCGTTAAAATTAGCAAAATGGTTACTTAATATGAATATGTGAAAATGTCTGCTTCTAAAGCTGCACTTAACTGTTTCTGCAGACTGAATTAGCATCATCAACATTTATAGGAGATAACAGTCCAGGATCTTTTTTTCTTTCAGCAAGCACGTGTGATTAGAGAGAATTTGAATGACATTAGAAGGAGAAGATACCGTAAGTGTTTTATATATATTGGTTTTGTGTTATAATTAAAAATATGGTTCACATCTTAAACTGCTTCTTCAGAAATATTAAGTAACTATGAAATTCCCAATACAGTTAGAAAAATTCTGAAGAGGCGTCTGTGAAGTATATAAAAATAAGCTTGTATGACGTCTACATGAAAGTAAGACTGATACAATCATATCAGTCAGATAGTAGGCCAGAGATACAAGAGTGTGCTAAAAAAATGGTGATGATGTTTCAATATTCAGTTCAAGCTCCCCAGCAGGTTACACTTTACTTACGAACTCAGATCAGTTCTTAGAGGCCTAAAGGATATTTTTTTTGTCAAATTGTACTTTTGTTAAATGTTTGTGAATTAGGAGTGACTGGATTTACATACAAAGAACTTCTGTAGTAGTATAGGTCTTGTTATTCAATATGCTTATTACGGTGGATCAAACTTAGATTTGAAATAACTTTTCAATAATATCTTGAGAAATAAGGGAAGGAATACTGGGTCAGGGCTTCCTGTTCATGCTTTCTATTTAAGAACTCTCCCTTATTCATCCTAACTTTTAGCCTAGTTTTCTAGGGGTAATATTACTGGTATTGTCCATGTGTCCCTTGTGTGACTTTTGAATTTGCTTTCCATCACATTTGAGAAAGGGAAGATCTGAAATGCCTCTGTCTGTAAAACTGTGCCAAATGAAGACAGGGTGTGGGACAGGTGTTCAAATCAGCGTCCATGTCTGATGGAAATGCAGACAGTTTTGTTAGCTGCCAGGGAACCAGTCAGTGTATGTTGGTACCAGATACCCACAGCATTTGTTTCTTGTGGAAGGTGCGTTGGAGGAAAGGGATGGAATGAGTTTTATCTATTACAGTGGAATGTCTACAAGCAAGAAGCAGCTCTTTAGGTCTTCTGCCCACTAATCAATTTTTGAATGCTTTGTTTTCCTAATAATGGAACAGTTCTGAAACAGGCCGAAGGAGAGAAGGCGCTGCGAATTTCTACCACAATGAGGAAAAAAAAGGAAGTAGCAAGAATGAAAATCAGTGAAAAGTTGAAGTTACTCCATAGGAATGTACAGTATGAAAGGAAGGTGATTGTGTTAATTCAGAATATACTCCAGGTAATATTATAGCTTTCAGAAGCAGTTTGTAGTTTGCACTACAAAAAGATAACTACTGAATGTAACTTCAAACAACAAAATTGTGTTTTCTAAAATCTTTTTATAACAGCATCAAATTAAAAAAAACTGCAGTAAGGCATATCTTATTGTTTTAAAAACCAAAAGTGTTCAATTATTAGGAGCTTGTATGGAATAATTACTTACAGAGTTTAGAAACAGTCTATCAATGTCCATCTCTCTGTTCCCTTAAAACTACATAAATAATGCATTTTCCAGAAGTGTGTCTATCATGGCAGAGGCCATATTTCCTTACATCGTGAGTCACCCCTACACCCATCAAACCAGAATAAATAAGTAGGTCTGAAACCTGTGATACCAGTGAGCCAGACTGCTTCTAATTATGTGTTGCCCTTCACAGTGTTGTGAAAATGTTTTTAAATGTTTTCATCAGTGTAGCCTTCATGCTCTTGGTTACTCATCTGTCAGCTACTGCTGAATAGTCTGTATTAGTAAATCTGGCTGGCAGATTTCCTGGAGTTTGGCATCATGCGAAGTAAGGTAGAAAACTGATACGAGATTTGAGTAGGAGGAGAGCTTCCTGCAACATCCTGTGCTTAGAGGGGCTCTACTAAAGCTCTGCTGCTGGCTGGTACTTGTCTTTTCACAGCATCACTTGCAACACCTTACTTTGCAGATCAGTGACCTAATTAATGCAGAGATGAGAGGCACAGTGAATTACAGGAGCTCTGAGTTTGTCTAATTAGTTATGGAAATGCAGTGAAGAATGCAGTTTCTTTAAATACACATGCGTGTTGAGGTGTTTAGATGGAAGACAGGATATAACTATTCTGTGAATTCATATGCTCAGAAGAATATCAAGAACAGAAAAAAAGCCACGTGTTTTTGTGTTGCATGCTTTGTCTACCAGTGGTTTGAAATGTGTTTCTTCTCACTAAGAATGGGAAATTGATTGTTTTAGTGGGTTCTGTGTTACGTTTAACTAGTTCTATTTATGTTCTAAATGACAGAAATGGACAAGTCTTTTTGGTTAAATTTAAAAATTCCCATGTTCAATCCAGAAAGGCAAAGTGAGAATGTTAGAAACTGTATCATTGTGTGTTAGGGCAAACTTTCTTTCATGTGGTTAAAAAGAAAAGTAAACAAACCTCTTAAATTGCTATCTTTAAAATAGGAATAGTGTGCCAGCACCAGCAGAAAATCTAAAGGGCTGGTTAGTTTGCTTGTTTTTTGCCCTTGTGTTGACAGTAAGATCTCCTCCCTCCCCTAGTCCTGCCAGGCACTGAAAAAAATGCTTTCAGTGTCAAGGACTTCCAAATTTGGAAAGAAAAAAGCAGATAAAAAAGCCAACGCTCCACCTTTTGATCCTTTTTTGAAGACATTTGTGGTTTTTAAACTATGTTTTTTTCTGTCTTGCAGAATATCATAGTTGGATGCCAAGTCAACTGGATGAAAGATCCATCTTTAAAAGCAATTATTCTACAGCTCGAGAAAGATATCTCCATTCAGAATCTCTTGTAGTCGGCAAGATGGTGTTTAATTGTAGACTGTACTTACTTAACACATTGTATCTTATTTAGTGAAATCAGCCTTTCAATTTGAGATTTCAACCTTTCTGAAATTTCTCTTATCTACAGACCCAGGATGTAGCCGTGCCACTCACTTTTCCAAAATGATATTCTAACTTGGTAGATAACAGATGTGACAATACCTATTGCATAGCTGACTAAAGGAGCTGAAGAGCGAGCTTGAGCTGTGCTATGCCAAGAACTCATTTCCCCATGAAATGCAGCAACAGTACAAGAAATAACCTGTGTGTTACGATCACTTAGGCAGAGGGGCTGACGGTGCAGCCCTGCCACCAACCTGCACAGAGAGGTGCCCGCGTGGCCCTGTGCCACCAGGCTGTGGGCACCACAGCCCATGCAGAGCTCAGGCTGCACAACTTGGTCCTAACCTCATTTTAAGCTTTGGACTTTTTCTGTGTGCTCTGAAGTGTGTTTCTGCACTGCAAGGTGATTAGCTAGGTGGAGCGCCCAGCAATTACATATGGTGCTGCTGCGGCGGTCCCACCTGGAAAACAGGACTGAGGTGAGAAGAGCGGCTTCGCGCGTGCGAGCAGCGCCCCACCTTAAGCGCTGCCGTGCCTGTCCTGTACTCGATCGGCTAAACCTATCTGCGTCTAACGGCCTAAATAAAGCCATGAGTTTCTGCAAGGGCGAGGCGTCTGCTTTTCAAAAGGGCGGAGTCACCTCCCGCGGTCGCCCCGCCCGGCGCCCTGCGGCCCCGCCCGTTCTGCTCGCTCTGCCCGCGGGGCGGGGCGCGGCGCTGCCCCTCGTGCGGGCGGCGGTGCGTGCGGCGGGGGGCACCATGGGCAGCAAGATGGCGGCGGCCGCTCGGGTCGTGCAGGTACCGGCGCACTCCGCGAGGGCACGGCGGAAACAGTGCGGTGGCGGGGCCGGCTGCTTGGCGCGGCCGAGGGGCCACGCTCGCGGCCGGCGGGGCCCGGAGAGGCCTGGGCCCGGGTTGCGGCAGGGAGGCCGGCGGTGTCCTTGGACTGGCGAGGGGGCGGGCGGCGGGGCCGGCCCGGAGCGGGTCCCGCGGTGCGCGGCGCTCTGTGAGCTGCTCGGGGCTCCCTAAGCCGCGCGGCGGTGGCCGAAGGAGGCGAAGGGAACGCGCCGCCCCTGTTGGGCCGCGAGGGCGGAGGAAGACCTTCAGAGGTGAAGTTCCTCCATGGCTGGAAGCGAAAAGGCGGCCGCTGAGGTGGTCAAGCTGGCAGTGCGCAGAGCAGCGGTATGGAGGGGCTGTATAACGGTGCGTGTCCCTTTGTATTACTGCGATGTTGGTGTTTGTCGGAAGTACACGTTATTCACCTTATTTTCTCTTCTGCCTTGTTACGTTGCAGGTAGTGAAGCCACATACTCCGCTGATTAAGTTCCCGGACAGAAAAAGCGGTCCCAGGCCTAAAAGTAAGTGTTTTGCCTGGGGATGCAGCAGGCCCCAGATCTCGTTGCCTTACCGGTTATATACCAGAATGCACTTTCTGCTTCAGCCAAATGACTCCACTGATTCAGAGTAAAGTTTCTGAAAAAGGATTGTTTCACAGAATCATAGGGGTTGGAAGAGACCTCATGAGAAATCGTGAGTCCAAAACCCTGCTAGAGCTGATACCTTGCAGCAGGTCAGACAAGTAAGTGTCCAGGTGGGTCTTGAATATCTCCATAGAAGAAGACTTCACAACCTCCCTGGGCAGCCTGTTGTAGTTGCTCTGTCATCCTTACTGTAAAGAAGTTCTTTTGCATGTTAGTACAGAACTTTCTGTGTTCAAGTTTTAGGCCATTTCTCTTTGTCCTCTTGCCACGCCACAACGCCACCAAAAGAGCTTGGCCTCATCCATTTGCCTCCTACCTCCAATTAGATATTCATAAACATTTACTGAGTTCCCCTGCAGTTTTCTTCTCACCAGACGAAACAAACCCAGGTTACTCAGCCTTTCCTTGCACAGGCTTTTAATCATCTTTGTGGCCCTCCACTGGACTCCTTTTTTGAACTAGGGAGCCCAGAACTGGACACAGTAGTCTAAATGTGGCCTCACCAGGGCAGAGAAGAGGGAGAGAATTCCGTTCCTTAACCTGCTGGCCACATTCTTTCTAATGCACCCCAGGATATCATTGGCCTTCTTAGCAACTAGGGCTCAACTGCTGGTCCATGGCCAACCTGTTGTCTGCGACCCCCAGGTCCTTCTCTGCAGAGCTCCTCTCCAGTAGGTCACTCCTAACCTGTAATATGCATGAGATTATTCCTCTCTGGGTGCAAGACTCTACACTTGCTTTGCTCTTGTTCAACCTTATCACGTTGCTCCCAACTCTCCAGTCTGTCCAGGTCTTGTTGAATGGCAGCACAGCCTTCAGCCATTCCTCCCAGTTTTGTATCATCAGCAAATTCCTCGAAGGTGGACTTTATCCCTTCATCCAGGTCACTGATGAAGATGTTGAACAAAACTGGATCCTGCACCGGCCCCTGGAGAACACCGCTCTGTTGCTGGCCTCCAACCACTCTGCACTACTGATACAGCCCTCAGAGCTCGGCTAGTCAACCAGTTCTCAATCCACCTCACTGTCCACTGATGTATCCCACATTTTTTAATTTTCATAACAAGGATGTTGTGGGAGACAGTGTCAAATGCCTTGCTGAAGTCAAGCTACACAACATCCATTGCTCACTCCCCATCTATTCAGCCACTGATGACATCATAGAACATTATCACTTGGTCAAGCATGATTTCTCTTTGGTGAATCTATGTTGACTCCTCCTGATAACCTGCTCTTCCAATTGCTTGGAGATGGCATCCAGAAGAAGTTGTTCCGTCACCTTTCTAGGGCAGAGGTGAGGCTGACTGGCCTGTAGTTTCTGCGATCCTCCTCCTCTCCCTTTCTGAAGACTGACATTGGCTATCCTCCAGTATCAAGACACCTCTCCCATTTGCCAAAACTTTTCAAAAACAATAGAGAACAGTTCAGCAATCACCTCTGTCAGTTCTCAGCACGTGAGTGCAAACTGTTGTAGGCCATAGGTGTGTGTTTTGTTGGATTTTGGCTAGGTGCTTTCTGACCAGATCCACCTTAACCTACAAAAACTCTTCCTCTCCCAGACTCTCTCTCTTACCTCCAGGGTCTGGGATTCCCGAGGGCTAGTTTTAGCATTAGAGACTGAAACAAAGAGGGCATTCAGAACCTCTGCCTTCTCACTATCCCCTTTTACCAGGGCACCGATCTCATTTATTAGGGGACCTACATTTTCCCTCATCTTCCTTCTACTGTTGACATACTTTAAAGAAATTTTTTTTTGTTATCCTTTTCCTTGTTGGCAAGGTTTAATTTCAAGAGGGCCTTAGCCTTCTTCGTTGTATCCCTATGGGCCCTGGCAACATTCCTGTATTTATCCCAGGTGGACAGGCCCCTTTTCCACATTTAATTTCTTATTTTCTTTTAGTTTATCCATGAGTTCCCCACTTTTAGGTTGAAATGACTCTTTGATGTCTTCTCTACAACTGGAGGAATACAAATAATAATGCATGTCTATTTGTTCCATCTGTTCCTTGGTCAGACCAGATTCTTGAAGATTTCCTACTCACACAAAGTCCCTTTTTTGCATGTACTCATATTCACCTGAGCTGGTTGTGCCAAGGTCAGCTTTAAGGATTCAGTGATGTTTACAGAAATGCTGTTGCATTTTCCTCATCTCTTCTTTTCTTGATTTTTGCGGTATTTAATGTTTGTTTTATTTTAAAACCTTGGTTGCAGGTGGCAGAGCTATCCCACTGTAAGTTTTAAGAAGTGTTTCCTGGTCTTATTAATCAGTGCTGAGAAAAAAAAATATTTCCATGGCCGTCTTTGAGACATCAATCTATACCTATAGCTGCGTTGATGTTTATAACAGTACTGAAGATGCTATATTTAGACATCAAAGCTATGTAAGCTGAATGTTGTTGTTTCTCTTTGGAGTCAACAAAGCATTTGAAACTAAAATAGCAAATGTCTTACTTAAATAGCAAATATCTTAGAAAGCTGTCTTACATTGCTCTCTCTTTTATTTTTTTTTATTTTATTTTTTTTCCTAATACTCAGGTCAAAAATTTTCAGCACCAGAATTATCTCCTGGAAGACTTGCTTAGACATCTAAAGATTCTTCTTTTTCTTTTTTTTTCCTAATGTTCAAATACTGATGGCTAAAAACATGAATTTTAAATTTGAGAAACTACTGCCTTCAGACTCCAAATTCTGTAAAACAATCTGAAGTGTGAAGTATGACTGTTCAGTAAAAAGAACATTTGGAAGCAACTTAGTACATGAGTAACTGTTCTATATATTTGTCGTAGCATTATTACATCTGTAATGCAGCTGTAAGGCTAGTTTATCCATTTACACAAAGCATCTACAGTGCACATCAGTGCCACTTCTGTCATGCCTATGAACTAGTCAGGAACTATGTTTTGGGATGACTTTGTCATTCATACCGCCTCTCATGCTAGTGATCTGCTTTCTTAGAGGCATAAAAAGCGTGTTACTTACGTCTTGTTTATCTCTGCATCAGAAGAATTTTGCCACCATACACTTTTGTTCTATGATAGACCATTCAAAAATTGCAATCTGTCTATTTGCTCAAAGGCTGCAGCAGTAACTGTGTCTCACTATACCAAACAGCCAAACAGAATGTTGCAGATCAAGGCTATGCTGTTAGAAACTCTGTGCTTGAAAGGCCAGTGAAATTCTTTTATGGTATTACTATTGCAGTATGCTATCAAACAGGGAAGGAAAAAAAGTGGTAGACAGTGATGAGCTAAAGCAACTGCAGCTTAGGTCTGATACTTATCAATCCTGAGTTCTCATGTTTCTACTTGACTAATGCTTTTGTTCCAACTGTATATCAGACTTGAAACTATATGATAGAGGAGAATCTCAGGCAAATCTAAATGTTTTCATGGCATATAAAACAAGCTTGGAAAAAGTTTCTCATTTTTCATATATTTTATCTTTTGAAACAAAAACATATTCTAGGCCCTACTAACCAAAACTGCATGAAATCTGGCAAACAGCTCTTCTTTCTGTTCTCCTTTTCTGTTCCCTTTGCCTCCACTCTGAAATTTTAGAATTTCATCATAATGGCATACCCTCTGTTCAGCTGGTGTGCCTGTTGATGGGCTCTCTTCCTCCTTACTCTATTTGAGACCTCCTTTACTGAACCAGCTGATCGATTTGTAGCTTTCAGGTACAGTTTTTTGACTGAGAACTTCTTGGTACACCTCTCAGTGACGTTTTTCTGTTTTCTGTTATATTTTTCATTGCTTTTGTGTTTTTTTTGGGGGGTGGGAATTTGTTTGTTTTTACCAACAGTGGCTGGATGACTTTGCTGCAGCTGGTTTTCATTCCTGTCCCAAATGACTCAGACATCCTATAGCTCTTCCTTTCTCTTTACCAATTTTGCTGGAGGCAGCAGGGAGAGGTGCAGACAGTATTGAGGCATCTTAACATCTTTGCTCAGTCTTGATGATGCTGGTTGTTGTATAATTTTGAGTCCTTCTATTCCAGCCACTTAGATGTTGTGTTCTTCTTGATAATTTTTCAGAGGCACTGAGAAAAGCTTCCTGTGGAAGCATTCTGCTTTATCAGGTCTTTTAACTTTATATACAGAGGTCTTCAATACTTCTGATGTAAACATATAGCTATGGGACTCAGTCCTGCCTGGTATGGTAATTGTATTTGTGCTGTAAGTCCTGACATGGAGGGACAGACCTGAGATCCAAAATGCTGATTTATGGTAACAGTGCCTGCTTGTTACCAGTTTTCTGTTCTCAAACTGGAGGCGGCTTCCCTCTTGCAAATTCCTTAAGTTTGCTCCTTGACCTCACCTGTAAAGTATTTAATATATGCTACTTGGTCACTACATCTCATTAACAGTTTGATCGCTGATACTCAATATGCGATCCTCATTCTGCACATTACTGACATAATTTGATACACTTCACTGTCCGTTGTATAATATTAAAAACAAGTGCAGAGTTGCATGTGTTGTGGTATGTCACTGTTGTGACATTCACCTTTCTGTAAGCCTCTAGCTCTTTTTCACCTGTCTTTCTTTACAGTTGCAGTAAACAAAAGCATCATCTCAGTGGACCTTAGTTATTCATCTTAATTGTCGTTCTGCTCCCCTTACCCTCTCCACAACACAATTATGATACTGTATACTTTTTCTGCAAGAAAAACTTCCCACTTAAAAAAAAAAAGCCTTTGTTAGGATATTTACTGATTTCATTTTTCTTTCCATATTAACACTTCTTCCACTTGAATATACTATCTTTTAATTTCAGAATATTTTCATTGTGCTTTTGATGTATTTAGTAGGAGTAAAAACAGGTTATGATCAGTTGACTATATTAATATCTGTTAGGACAAAAGTAATTGTCAATGACATATTTGCCACTCGTCTAATTGTACAATATCGTTACATTTCTTTACACTGCTTTTCAATCTGGGTTTCAGTACAGGAATCTCTACAAGCAAGTGTTCCATCACCTCATGCTTCAAATGCACAGGAGTCCATAGGAGGGAGACCACTGGCCTTTCAAAATATTTCACCTGTTAGTAGGGCACAAGGTGCACCAGACACTTCTGAATTAGCAAGAATCTTACCTCAAAAGTACAGAAGGAAACTTATGTCAGTTGAAGAGATTGAATATATTCAAGTAAGTCTCAGTAACTGTTGTGTGTTCTCTTATTTACCCAACATTCTTCTTACTTCTGCAGGTTCTTAAGGTTTCACGTAAGATAATACATTATAATTTTTTGTTAAGAAAAGCTTTTGCAGCTTTGATACACAGTACCAAAACTACAAATCCTTGAACCTTGAGGTTCGGAGCTCTTACTGATCAGTAGCTTGTGGTGTTGCCATGAGACCCAGATTTAAAGCAGAGGTAGACAGGTAGTGATAAGTAGAGCCTACATTAAGCATAGTCACTTCTTGTTTTATAATAGATGTTTAATGTATAATGTGAATATGTTGGATGGCAGCACTGAATTCTGCTTGTGGACCAGCCTTTGCCAGGTGGCTGAAGCACAAAATTAATAAAAACTATTTTGGAAAGTATTATGTAATGGGAAGTTAATTGTTGCACTTATAATTATTGGGAACATTTTAGCTAAGTTTGATGGAAATATTTCATGAAATATTTGCAGTGGCAGCATTACATGGGAAAGTCAAGGAAAAACTGCTTTTCTTCTGTAACAGTTTTCAAATGTAAACATTTTTACTTAAAAAGGGAGAATGCACAGAATTTGAAGAGCTAGACAGTAGCTTTGTCAAATGATAAGGACACTTAAAGGATAACAGTGTTAGTACAGGAAACCTATTTTTCAGCATGAAGTGGGTTGACTATTTAAATTTGAAATAAAACGATCTCTTTCCTGTAGGTACATACATCTTTACTTCTTTACTTCCTTTTTTTTTTTTTAAACCATGAGGCAAGTTGTAAAATAATTTCTGATTTCACATCAAGATTATAGCGGCTTACCTGGGCTTTGCTTTTAGTTTGCCCTTTGGAATTTGGGCAGTAAAACAAACTCTGAAACTACTACTACCGCTGTTTGTCTGACCTTTCTAAAGTGAGTGAAGTCGTATTTCTTCCATCTGAGAGAATAGGGAACATTTGCAAATATAGGTTGTAGAGGTTTTTATACTGTTTATATTGTTCCATGTGGAAAATGAGCTGTTAATGATAATTTTTCTGACGTGTAGCGTGTCCATTATAGATTAAAAATCAAAGTGTAAATAAGTTATATCTAGGACTTGTTTGTTAATCTGTAACTGCAAAGGAAGATTGGATCTCAATTTCCCTTTCTTTTAGTGAAAAATAGTTAACTGTCTATTTTTTGCTTTGCAGCGTGGAGGTCCAGAATAACTACAGAAGATAATTTGCTCACCACTGTTGAAGAAAGAAGTATGGTGTTCATCATATAAGCTTAATAGTATACTGATAGTTTTAATAAAAACCCTACACAAAGGTGTAAAGGTTGACACAATGCTATTAATTGTGATGAGAGATTTTCTGTTGATAACTAATAGCAATTGATGGCTACATCATTAGAATATTTTTCTAATTAGCCATTCTATGAATCTGGCAATAGAACAAACTGAGTTGGTTTATTTTCCTTGTTAACAGATCTTCTCAGGGCTGGCTTCACAGGCACACTCAGAGACTCATAGAATGGCTTTATTTGGCTGGAACCTTAAAGACCATCTATTTCCAACCCCATGCTGAGGGCAGGGTTGTCACCCTTTAGATTAGGCTGCCCAGGGCCCCATCTAGTCTGGCCTTGAATACATCCAAAAATTGGGGTGTTACACCTTCTCTGGAGGAACTCTTCCAGTGCTTTGCCTCCCCCCCTCCCAGGAAAAGAATTTACCCCTACTGTCTAATCTGAATATCCCCTCTTTTAGTTTAGAACCATTTCCTATCATCATCAGACTGTGTAAAAAGTCCCACTCCATCCTGTTTACAATAAGCTCCCTTTAAATATTGGACAGCCACAATGGAGTCTCCCTGGAGCCATTTCCCGGCTGCATAAGCCCAACTGTCTCAGCCTTTCCTCATAGGAGAGGTCCTCTGATCCTCCTCAGAATGCACTACAGCTGTGCTGCATCTTTTTGTGCTGGGGTCACCAGGCATGAATACAGTGCTCCAGATGGGGCCTCAAAAGGGTAGAGCAGAGGGAAACAATCAATCACCTCCCACATCCTGCTGGCCTCCCCCCTTTTGATCCAGACCAGGATACAATTGGCCTTCCAAGCAGCAAGAACACATTGCTGGTTTGTGTCCAGCTTTTCATCTACTGGAACCCTGAAGTCCTTCTCTGCAGGGCTGCTCTTTGAGCTCTCAGCAAGTTTTTCTCCTTATCTGTGCACATATCAGTGCAATGCTTTGTTGAATCTCATTAGGTTCACATGAGCCTACTTCTTAAGCCTGTCCAGGTCCTGTTGGATGACATCTGTTCTGTCGTATGAACAGAACCCTCAGCATGGTATTGTCTGCAAATTTGCAGAGGATGTAATCAATCTGTCAATTAATTATGTCATTAATAAATCTGTTAAAGAGCACCAGTTTCAAGATGGAGTCGAAGGGAACACCACTCATCACTGGCCTCCTCTTGGACATAGATTCATTGACAGTAACTCCCTGGCTGCAATTATCCAACCAACCAATTATTATCCACTGAATAGTTCACTCATCAAAACCACCTCAATTTAGAGATAAGGATGTGGTGTAGGACCCTGTCAAAGGCCTTGCACAAGCTCAGGCAGATGACATCAGTTGTTCTGTTGTCCACTGATGCCATCACTTCATTGTAGAAGGCCACTAGAAGGATAAGGCACAATCTACCATTAATGGGACTGAACTGGCTTTCCTAGATAATCTCATCACACATGTGTTGAAAGACCTGTTCCATGACCTTCCCAGGCACAGAGGTGAGGCTTAATAGCCTAATGGCCTGTAGTTCCTTGGGTCTTCATTCCCTCTCTCGCTTTCTTAAAAATGGGAGTCATTTCTCCAGTCACCAGAGACTTTGCCTACCAGTCATAACTTTTCCAGTATGCTGGAGAGTAGCTTAGAAACCTATCAGCCTGTTCCTTTAGGACTCCGACATGTGTGTTCCATAGACTTGTACACATTCAGTCCCATGAGGTGGTCTTGGACCTGCTTTTCTCTTACAGTGGAAGGTATTTTTCTACCCCAGTCTCTACCAAGAGGTTCAGAGATGCTAGAGACAAGGGGAAACCTGACTGCCAGTGAAGACTGAGGAAAATACCTCATTAAGTACCTTGGCCTTCTCCATGTCTATTGTAGCCAGTTCTCCCTTTTCATTAATCAGAGGGGGAACTCCTTGGCCTGTCTTTTCTGACCAATGGACCTGCAGAACCCCTTCTTGTTATTCTTCAAATGCCTCATCAATTTTACTTTCATCTATCTTAATCCCACCTCTGTACATCTGCACAACATCCCTGTACTCTTCCCAGACGACCCATTTCTGCTTCTGCTTCCTGTACAGGTCCTTCTTATCCCTCAGTTTGAACACCAGGTCCTTGCTCAGCCATGTCCATTTCCAACCTCCTCTGCCTGACTTCTTATGCTGGGCGATGGAGAGCTGTTATGCTCTCAGAAAGGTGTCTTTAAAGAGCTGCCAGCTCTGTTCCCTTCCTATGCACCTAACAACAGTTTCACAGAAGATCTCATCCAACAGCTTCTTGAGCAGAAGTTCACCCTGCTGAAGTTCAGGATCCCGACTCTGCTGTTTATCAGGAGGCCCCTGTTCCTCCTGATCACCGACTCAGGCAGGCCATGTTCACTACAGCCCAAGTGCCTGCTGCCCTAACCTCTTTAATGAGCTCATCTGCATTGATGAGCACCTGGTCCATTCACCGCTGGTTGGTCTGTCCAACACGTGGGTCAGGAAGTTTCCTTCATGCACTTCAGGAGTCTCCTGAATGCCTGCAGTCCATCATCCTGTTTCCCCAGCAGACATCTGGGTGGTTGAAATCCCCCATCAGAATGAGAGCCTTCTGTAGCAAGAAGGCCTCACGCACAGGCTCCCTTTGATCAGGCAGCCTGGAGTAGACCCTACGCAGCAGATGTCCTTCAATGGACCAGTTCCTGCTGCTGCCCACGAGCTTTCTGCCTGACCCTGGCTGTTCCTCGCAGGCAGCTCTCCATAATCCATGTTCACAATCCACGTCCGGTTTTTAACGCAGAGCGCAATTCCCCGCCCCTCCTTCCTTGTCTAGCTCTTCTACAAACCACGCAGCCTTCGACTGCAGTATTGCAGTCGTGCCATTTGCCCAACCGCGAAGCGTTCTGCGCAGCTGACCGAGGTCTGATTCGCCGCACCTCCACCGCGTCTGCGCGGCAGCCGGCCATCAGAGCCCGCCGCCCCCAAGCAGCGCGGTCAGGGCGGTGCACGGCCCGCCCTCGCCCCCGAGCTGACGCTGCAGCGGCGCGCGGCGCGGGGGGCTGGGGCGGCCGCACGGTGGCGTCAGGGCAGCCAGCGGCAGGGCGGGGCGGCGGGCCTGAAGCGACGCCGGGCGCGGGGGCTGATAAAGCTCCGTCGTTGCTCTTCGCTTCGTGTCTCGTCTCTCCGGCCTCGGGTTCTTTTCGCCTTTTCCGCTCGGAGGCCATGGACGCGCGGGCTCGTGCGAAGCGCTACGAGAAACTGGACTTCTTGGGGGAAGGGCAGGTGAGCGGCTGCCGGGGCCCTCTGGGGGGTGGCCGGGGTGCGCGGGGCGGGCCGTCCGCCGCAGTGTCCGGGCCTGCCGGCTCGGGACTGCGGGCCGCCCTGCCGATGCGCTCACGCGCGTCTCTCTCTCCCCGTAGTTTGCTACTGTGTATAAGGCAAAGGACAAGGTCACGGGGCAGATCGTTGCTATCAAAAAGGTGAGTGCCGGAACGTCCCTCTGTTGTGTCGCTGAGCGCCTTGCCCTGCAGCGCTGCTTGTGTGGACGGCTGCCGTGGGTAGTGCGTGAGGGTTGCTAGAGCCGTTGGCAAAAACGAAGGTAGCACAATCCATGGCTGCCTGGCCTCCTTGCTTGTCTGTGCCACGTGTAGTGAGGTCGGATTGTTCTGGGCCACGTACACATGGGCCGGACTGAAAGCAAAACCTCCATTTTACTTCTGTGAAAGCTACAGCAGATGTGAAAAGCACAGTGACACTATGTGGTAGAGCATGTTCTGAGATACCAAAAACTATTTTTCAGCAGAGACAGCACCATTAGTTAGGCATTGTCACTAGCAGTGAGCAAAAGCCTGCGTGCTGCAATGGCATAAATCTGTACCAGTGAAGCTGACCTGCTGTTGCCGTCACCTGTGCTGAAAGGCATCACCTGCTGCCTCACTGTGCTCACACCTGCTGCCTGGTCTCCATAAATGTTCAGCAAGTGTCGATGAATCTCGGTAGGTGCCATTTTTCTGCATGGAGGAGTTCAGCAACACACCTTTGCTTCATTCACACTTCTGTGTCAGATGTCATTTTGTTAGAGTACCCTTCTGCTGCCATCTGTCGCATGGCAACAACACAGAATGGGAAGGTTCAGCCTCTGCTGCCATGCTAGCATCCACCTCTGACTTCATAGGCCAGTGTAATAACATAGGAGGCATTACTGCAGAGCAGTCCTTGTAAAATATTCGGTATTGTTAACGTATAGAAGTAACAGCACTTTTTTTTTTTTTTTTTAATTAAAGCACTAAAAGAGCAACAGCAAAGTAAAACTAAAGAGCTATTTCACCTTGTTTTTGTACAACTAATGCACGAGTCTGATTGGATGGCAGTGGCTACAGTTCTTAATGAGGGTTCAAGGTGTTCATCAGAGACATTTTATTAAATTTTACTCTTCCTGGACTTGAAAATGTGGTATTAAAACTCAACCTGCATTGGAAAAATAACACCAAAGGATGTACCTGTACTGTTGCGGCCTGTGGCTTGACCTTATATAATATGAAACATTTATTTTCAGATTAAATTGGGACACCGATCAGAAGCTAAAGATGGTAAGTATTAACATAAGTTCATGTTCTATAAGCTGCTTTTATTGGTTTTGTTTCTGCAGACTGGGTGATTGATTCCTTCCAAACTTAGGGAGACAGATAAAAATAACATCAGAAATACAGTACTCTCGTACTGTATGTCTAGCTGCGCATAGATGGCTGTCAACTTTCTCAGTTTAGGTGCAACCCAAACATGAATATAGCATAGAATAATAGTTCTGATGCTTACGTGTGCCTCTGTGTCTTAATTGTGCAAAGGAAGTGCAAGTGCTTATCTTTTTTGTCCCAGAAAATATCACATGAAAATAATAAGTAAAAACAAGATTCTAAAAATCTTTTCTTTGAGTAAATTTGCTTGTTTTGTTTTGAGAAGTTATATTTGTCCAGTAGTTTCTTTTGATGAGATGCTCTGACCAGCCACATGCATTCAGGCATTGATGTTGCAATTAAAACCCAATAATCCTGCTCTTTGCTTTTTGCTTATCTGGTGCAATAGCGTGCAGTCGTATGGGCGTAGCTGCCATCCTTCAGGGATCCTGCACCTGGTTACCAGATTCTTGTGAAAATTCTTCAGTTCCATTCTAAGGAAGAACTAGACATCCCAGAGTCTTCCAGTTGTGTCAACTGCCACAGAGCTGCGATTCACCTGGTCTTCACTAGACTAATGTCCTTTAAGGACAGTCATCTTTTAGGGCCTGCAGCCATAATTCAAGAAGAAGAGCGATCATGTCTGGTTTTCCTTGTGCTTAACTGGTTGCATACTTGGGATTTTATTTTTTTTTTAGTATAAAAAATATGCCCACATGAAAGCAGACACTGTTTCTAAAGAAGGAATTAAAATAGGTGAAATGAGAGTGTAAATTAATCCATCACTGCACCCAAATCTTTGCTAGAATCTTATATGTTGAATAAAAACACTGGGGATAGCGATTTTTCTGAGCACACATAGTTGAATCTTGCTGCACAATAAAGTGCAGTAGTGTTTGTCTGCCAGTAAGTTGTCTTAGCCATTCATACCAGCATGTTTTTGAGAGAGGAGTTGTTAACTAGTGTGCATGGTTTGATGGGATGCAGTATGGATGACCATCAAAGTTCCCTCCCCAAGTTTTTCTTTATGAAATCTGTCTGTTACAGGATTTGTGTTAGGGTGAGTAGGTTTTGGCCAGTACTTTTTGTGTTGTAGTACAACTGCAGAAGAGAAATTTTCTTACCTCTTCTGGCTGAAATAGCTTTTTTTTTTTTTTTTTTTTTTTTTTTTTTTTCTCCAAAAATCATGTTCACTCTACCTTCCTCTGGAAATGATGCAGAACTGAAATTTCCAGGACGTAACTTTACTTTAAAACAAAATCAAAGCTTGCTGTAACCTGGAAACTGTTTTTCTAGGCTTGTTGTAGAACAGACCTTTTTAGCCAAAGGAATGTATACATTGCTTTATAATCTATATCTTCTAATTATTACCTATATTTTGTCTGCAGCAATCTACGTATCTGTGGCAGTCTGCTTGGCTTTAACAAATAGATGAGCGGTGAGGAAAAGGATTGTAATGTTAAATAATCAATGAACAACAGAATAAGAGGTTTCTTTGCTGGAGTTTAATTTGAAATTTTTAATTTTATTCTATTTCATTACTTTTTTCGATATAGGAATCAACAGAACAGCTCTCAGAGAGATAAAGTTGTTGCAGGAACTAAGCCATCTGAATGTTATTGGTGTAAGTAAAATGAATGCTACTTCTAAAATCAGTTCCCAAATACTGTTGATACAGTTTCAAACTGATATTTAAAACTAGTTATCAGAAAGCTACTTTATTGTAGATTCTTTGCCCAAGGTGAACAGTGAAAGAGTTGTTGCAGAAAAACGTCTGTTTTCTTAATAAATACTAAGTCTTTTTATTTTTAAATCCTTTACTGTTTAGCTCGTGGTTATGGAAATCAAAGGTGGGAAGGCTTCTAGAAATTTAGATCATCTGATTTTTATTTATTTTATTTATTTTTATATTTCAATTATACAAATGCAAACGAGTGCAGTGTTAAATTTACCTGAACTGGCTAGCGGCAGAGGAAATTGTGACAGCCAAAAGCAGGCTTTGTAAGTAACAGTGAAGAGGGATTCACATAGTTTTTATTAGGTTTTATTGCTGCCACTTAAACCCATTGTTAGGTAGTGTGATTCCTGTCTTGTTTCAGTCTTACTTAAATTGACTTCTGTCTACAGATACTTAGCGGGAGCTGAAGGTACTTTAAAATTAGCAAATGTAGGTCATTCAAAACTTTGCCATAACCACTAGACCAGATAGGAATTCTCTGTAGTTTTTATTTAGCATTTTGGACTGGAGGTACAGTACTCTTCTGGACTGTGAACTTAACTTTCAAAGTGGTTACAGTACACAGAGAAGTCTACTGAACTTGGTTGGTAAGTAAAGTGGAACTGATAGTGGGGGGGGGGGGGAAAGCAATCACAAAACAATAGTATGTATAAATTATGCAGTAGAAGGCAATCTATGTATTTCACACAGAGCATAGTGAATCTCTCAAGTTTATTTCCACAGGCATTACAGAAGCAGATGATATCAACAGTGTGAGAAGGAATTTGGCAAATTTGCAATCATTCATGAATCCAAGAGGGCAGAAGTTCTATATAACAGTTGAGCTTGGGTAGAGGGTAAGGATGCAAGGTGTGCTTTGGAATATCCATCAAAGTTAGCAGAAACTTGGGGGTATTGGATGGTAAGCTGGATATGAACCAGCAATGTGCACTTGCAGCCCAGATAGCCAACTGTATCCTGGGCTGCATCAGAAGAAGTGTGGCCAGCAGGGTGAGGGAGCTGATCCTGCCGTTCTACTCTGTGCTCTGCTTGCCTTGAGTATTGCATCCAGATGTGGCGTCCTTAATACAGGAGAGATGTGGACCTGTTGGAGTTTGTCCAGAGGAGGGCCAAAAAAATATCCAAGAGATTGAACATTTCTGCTATGAGGGCAGGCTGAGAGTGCTGGGGCTGTTCATCCTGGAGAAGGTTCTGGGAACACCTGATAGTGGCTTTTCACTATCTAAAGGGGGGCTGTAAGAAGGAAGGAGGCAGACTCTTCAGCAGGGTCTGTTGTGGTAGGACTACAGGAAGTGGTTTCAAAATAAAAAGGAAGATTTAGATTGGACAAAAGGAAAATAATTTGTGCAGTGAGGGTGGTAAGGCACTGACTGGCAGAGGTTGCCCGGAGATGTGATGGATGCTCCATCCCTGGAGGCATTCAAGGTCAGGCTGAATGGGGCTCTTAGAAACCCGATCTGGCTGTGTGTGTCCCTTTTCCTTGTAGGGGAGAGGGACTAGGTGATCATTAAGGATCCTTAGCACCTCAAACAATTCTATGATTCTATGAATTCAAGATTTTTAACTCTAGGATGGAGAGGTAATTGTATAAAACGTTACCAGATCATGTGGGCTTCTTGGCTACCGAGTTAAGAAGTAAACTAAGTAATAAATTTTGTGTTGCAGGTAGGTGAACTGCAACAGTGCTACTTCATATTACGGGGTTACATTAAAGAAAACAAGATTCAAGACAGAACTGTGAGATCAGTTCCATGCTTTCCCAAGTCTAGGCCGTAGGTAGTCCTGTGCCTGTCTGTCTCTGCCAGTAAACTGAAAGTGCCTGTGCAAACTAGAGTAGAGTGGAATTTTAGAAAACTGGAATTGAGGGAGTATAGTTCATCATAACATTTTGTTTTACAGCTTTTAGATGCATTTGGACACAAATCCAATATTAGCTTGGTGTTTGACTTCATGGAAACAGACCTTGAGGTAAGACGGATTAAGATATCTCTTATTTCAGTATCTTCAAATGCATTTTGAAAATGCATCCTGAAAAACTATTTTTATAGCCTTACTTTTACTGTATTTTTTTAATTTTCTTTTTATAATGGTGTCTTTCATTATGTAACTTGATTAATATTATACCTTTAAAAGAGTTGGAATAGTGTGACAATTTTTGTGTAATTTCAACTGAAAATGCCTTTTAAGTAATTTCTGTCAGCACTGTTACCAGGAAACAGACTGTTTACTATATTAGTTTTCTAGGAACTTCAGTCAGAGCATAGAACCACTGATCATAAGCCAGGATCTCAGAATGCAATTGCTAAGCACAGTAATGTAAAACATGCACAAGTAAGTGTGATATTATTAAAGTATGCCATGTAATGATCTGACTAGAAGTCACATACTCCTGGACCTTTCTTTTAAATTTGACAGTGGTACTTGCTTGCAAGCCTGACTCTTACAGATGTTTCATTAGTTTATCTTTTGCTAAAATATTTTTATCAAATACTTTAGTGCAGATGCTTCATTGTGGAGCACTGCTGAGAAGACATTTTGGATGATTCTCATGTCAGATCTGTATATGCATATCCATACTCTGGAAGAAATTAACCCATTGTACATATGGCATGAGACCCTGGAGCTCACACTTAAAATATTAAAGTAAAGCATTGACAAGTTTCTTGAAACTCAGAGAAATATAAGACTGAAGTTTTACTTTTCTTCTTTTTGCTCATAGAAGTAATGCCTACACTTTCTAGAGGATTGATTTTTACTTAGTAACTATGCAGTGTTTAGAAATCAAGAAGGTACACTGTACAAGGAGGAATTGAATACTTAGTAACACAATGCAGAGTGGTATCATTCAGACACCTTTGTTAGGGACTAAGGCCTGTTGTGATTAGGCTCGTGCTGCATGTTGGAAATTCTTTGGTTTTAGGCTGTTGCTTTGTAAATCTCAAACAATTTAAATCTTGAGAAATGGTACTAATGAACTGAAAAGCAATATTAAACAATTTTGAGGGAGTGACTTAGAAAGTATTTTTAAGGAGGATATTCACTAGAATTTTGATGTTAAAAATTAAACTATGTTGAACACTTAAGTTTGTTGAAATATAGTGTCGTGGCTATACTTCCCTGTCTTTGTGGGGGGAAAAAAAGGAAACCAATGTGTTAACAAGGATTAGATGCTTAAATTGCATGGAGGACAAATGAGCATGTAGGAATATAATTTCTTGTAGATTATTAACACATCTGTTATTTTTGTGTACAACTTTTTTGACTTGTCAGATTGTATATGTTTGGTATGAAGATAAAATAAAATCATGCTTCCTGCCAATTTTCTAAATGGGCTGCTTATGCCAAGTTCACAATAGACCATCTGGAGTCCCTACTCCGGTTCTGATATCTAGATCAGTATAGACCTGTGGGTTTTTGTTTTGGTTTGGTTTTTTTTTTGTTTGTGGGTTGTTTTGGGGGGAGGGGAGTTTGGTTTTTGTTTTTTGGGTTTTTGTTTTTGGACAAAGGATGGGAACAGTAGAGTATGTATAGCTACTAATTGCAACTTTATCCTAAAGCATAAGCTAACTTTTGAGCTGAAAAAACTGCGGAATAATTTTGCATTATAAGCTTTTGTGGTTATCAATCTACCATTGTCAATCTAACATTTGCAGGTTATTATAAAGGATACTAGTATTGTGTTAACACAAGCTCACATCAAAGCCTACATGCTGATGACACTTCAAGGATTAGAGTATTTACATCAACAGTGGATTCTGCACAGGGTAAGCATGCTCTAAATGCCTTTGTTCCCATAACAAATGTCACTTTGGATTGAATTTTAGTCTGAATAATGAAACCTTAATTGGTTTGCAGTGCATAGGGTTGCACTAGCTGTTGAGCAGTGGTAGTTGCAATGCTGGAAATGTTAAGAATTACTTACATCTATAGTGTAGATGCTTATATGTATAAGTCATTCCAAAAGTAATGCTTTCTATTAATTCCCATGGAAACTACGATGCAAAAAGCACGATATCTCTATACAGCAGAGCAAATTCTGTTTTTCAACGTGGTCACCACTCTTAGCTATGCATTTTAATCAGTGATGAACAGGAGCCTGCTTGCCACGCTCTTAAAAACCAGCATCAGCAGATGTCACTCACTGTCTCTACTGCAGTAACGCACCACCCCTGCTTCTCTATGTTCACATCCAATGTTTGGTCTCCATAAACATTCAGCAAGTGTCAGTGAGAATGTCAGCGAGTACTATTTTTTTTACACATGGAAGAACTCAGTTCTGCAGCTTTGCTTCATCTGCACTTCCATGTCAGATGCTGTTTTGTTAGACTGCCTCTCTGCTGCCATCTGTCACATGGCAAAATAATATAATGGGATATTGGTGAGTAGATTCAACCTCTACTGCCATACCACCATCTGCCTCTGACACTGTGGGTCAACATACTAAACAGGAGGTGCTACTTTTTGAGCAGCCTTTGTCAAGCTGTCTCAAGTGATTCATGACTTTGGTTAGAACTGTGATCTAGTCTGGCTTAGATGAAGTTAACTTTCTTCATAGGAGTTTGCATCATGCTGTATTTTGAATCTGTAGTTAAAACAGTGGGCTGTTTTCCACCTGTTGAACACTGCTTGCACATCTTCAAGCCTTTTTCTGCTCTGTCTCTAACCCAGCAGATCTGCTTGGAGGGGCTCAAGATTAGGACAGGACGAAGCACTTGGGGCAGCTGACCCAAGTGGCCCAGAGAAATGCTGTCTGTGGTACAATGGTGTGAAAATAAATAAAAATTGAAAAACGGGATATAGGGAAATATTTTGTCTTCCAAGTTGGCTGTTGCTCAGAGGCTATTTGGGCATCAGTCTCTGCTTGTGGGAGGTGATAAGTGAATTCCTTTGAGTCCCTTGTTTTTTGGATTTTGTTTAGTTTTTTTCTTTTTGTTTTTTGGGCTTTTTTCCTCCTTTCACCTGTTAAATGCCCTTTGTTTTATATCAGTCTATGAATTTTCTTGCTCTTCTTGTCTCACTTGGGTGTGAGGAGATGCAAGTAAATGGCTACGTGCCTCCTGGCTGCATCCAGGACACAACACTGTTACTATATTAAACTATATCAGTCCCGTAACCTCTCCAGCTGTCAGACAAATTAGCGATCATCTTATTCTTTTTTTTCAACAGTGCAGTAAGACAGAAGTAACGTTCTTGCAGCAAAGCAAAAACCTACCACAAATCTGTGTTTTTGAGCTCTGGAAATTAAATAGCATAATATTCAAACTGAGATGTTTGATTTTTTTTTAATTTTATTTTCATTTATGTGGAAATGATGTCATTTGTTTTCTTCATCACAGTGTAAAAACTCAAAATATATTTAGACTGAATTTTAGAATACTGTTACTATACTCTTGCTGGGATGTTGTCTGTTTTTATTAACAATGACGGGATTCCTTCTTTGCTTTCTGTACTGACAGGATCTTAAACCAAATAATTTGCTGTTAGATGAAAATGGTGTTTTGAAATTGGCTGACTTCGGCTTGGCAAAATCTTTTGGAAGCCCAAACAGAGTTTACACACACCAAGTAGTAACAAGGTAAGACATTTCTTAGATTGATGGTAAATGTTATGTATTACCCTGTGGAATACACCAAGTTAAAGCAACACATTTCAAGTTTGATTTCTAGCTCAAGTAGTATGACTGTAGTGGCAAAAAGTCTCATAACTTTGCATAAAGAAAGCATAATAAAATGCTTTTTAGCAGTGTTTTAAAGAATGATTAGAATTTGTGTCCCTGGAGGTTGTTCTATGGTATGATACGGATTTGAAGCACGTAAAAATAACATTTACCTACAAATCAAGCTTTCAGAGAGACAGTTGTTACTTGCTGCTAATCATGAACCCACCAGTCTTTTGTAGTGAGGCACATTAACTGTTGTGATATAAAAGCTCAACCCAGTTAAGTTAATGTCATTTTTGATGTGCTTACTTAAGACATGTACTCTTACAACAAAAGAGACATACGTACTCTTACAAAAACACTGCAAAATAAGTTTCCTTTGGTCCACTGTAATGCTAAAACTATGCAGCAAAACTGTTTAATACCTTCATTCAATCAAAAGGCATCAGTGATACAGTTGTTTGAAATGCAGTGTGTATCAAATCTTGCCCAGCTTCAAATAATTGCTGCCAAGATGTATTTTACACAAAATTAATTTCTAAGTCTGTTGCTAGTTGTATTTTTGAAAGCTGAAAGGAACTCTGTCTTAAAGTACCATTTATTGAAAATAAATTTAAAGAAAACAATGGTCTGTAACATGTAAGCCTCCCTATATACTTTTATACTTTTTCCTTTGCATATCTGCAATTCTGTTGTTTGCCCGTTAGCTCAGCTGTAGTAAAACTGTGGTTACGCATAGCCCCATGATGTACAATGCAATGCTTTTCAAACTTAAAAAACAAAAACAAACAAACAAAAAAAAAACAAACAAAACAACAACAACGCTTTGTGGTTCTTTAATGTTTGGAAAATACACGGGCAAGAGCAGAATTCTTCTTGTAGTCCTGCTCTGCTGCAGCATACATCAAGTAAAACCAGGTTTTCCTGAAACGTTTTTTTTCTGTTCAGATGGTACCGATCCCCAGAACTACTGTTTGGTGCTAGAATGTATGGTGTTGGTGTTGACATGTGGGCTGTTGGTTGTATTCTAGCTGAGTTGCTTCTCAGGGTAAGTCTTCAAATGTGCATTTTAGATGTGGGTTTCTTCTTCCCTGCAGTAGTATAATCAATAGAAACTTAGGCTACTTCGTAGGAGCAATGAAAGGGGGCAGGAAGGAAATACCTTCCAGAAGTTTGCTACCTAAATGTAAGGGGAAATTTTCTAATAAGCTGAGGTTCCAAAACCATTGCAAAGATTGGAAACCTTAAAAAACAGCTAGGCAAAAAAGTACAACAGAGTATCACAGTTCTGCCTTTGGGAAGGTGAGTAAAGTAGTTTACTCTTCCAGTCCTCTCCGTGTTTTCTTTTCACACAGCCATTCCTCAGTTTTCATCTATGATATTTGCAGAACATTTGGCATCACATGTACATGTACACTCTATAAATTGTTTACCAATATTTGGGAATAATGACCATAGTACAACTGTAGATTTATTTGTAATGAGCTGAAAATGTACTGTTGTTGTTGTAAACTGTGGCTAGTTAATAGACTGGAGTGAGGCTGGAGATATTCAAGATAACATCTTACTGAGGAGTGACATAATGTAATGTAAAGGTGTAATCATCCATAAATATGCTTTATGGAAATAAGCAATTATGTAGGTCTTCTGAAAACACTGAAGTAGGAGGTAGGAAGTGGAGGGCAGGGGGTACAAGCATAGCTGAAAGCATGAAGTAGCCTGCAGTATAACGTACTTCCCAAAATAAGCAGGTTCTGCTTGATTTATGCACTTTAAGTGTATGTTGTATTGTGAACCAGATTGGGTAACTAGTCTGTTTGAAAACACTTGGGAATATATCATTTGCCTTGTCTGATTTATCATATGTATAGATGTGCCAGTACAAGTTCAGAATGGAAATATAGAGTGGTTGCTTAAGAAGCATCAGTAGTGCATGCATAAACATAGATGAGGCCACAGGTGTCCAACCTTCTGGCTTGCCTGGGCCACGTTGAGTGAAAAGGGATAATCTTGCACTGTGTAATGTGGAATGCTGCGGAAGAGATGACTGCTAGTTATTTCCATGGCGACAACAACAAATACAAATAGCACAATAATTATTTGATAGAGCAAATTCTCAGCTACAAAACAGTGTTTTTCAATGTAGTCACCACTATTAGCTGTGTTTTTTTTTCCCAACGTTGAACAAGAGCCTGCATGCCGTGCTTATAAAAATCTCTACCTGTGAAGGTGATACCTGTTCCACAGTTGCTGTGATGGCATCAGTGCTGATACGCACCATCCACCTCCTCCCATCTGCTCTGTGGTCCCCATAAATGTTCAGCAAGTATGGATGGATATCAGTGCATGCCATTTTTTTTCCATGTGGAATAATTCAATAACACACCTCTTGCTTCATCTGCACTTCCATGTCAGATGCCATTCTGTCAGAGTGCCCCACTGCTGCCATCTGTCACACAGCAACAACATGGGATGGGGTGTTGGTAGGAGGTCCACCTCTACTATCATACCACCAACATCCACCTCTGGCAGTGTAGGCCAATGTAATAAAATAGGAGGCATTACTTTTGGAGCAGCCCTCGTAAAATATATAGCTAATGCACGTAAGTAAACAAAACTTATTTTATTCTGTAGTGTTTCTTTTTAAAACCTAAAAAGAGCAGCAACAACACAGACCTAGTGAAACATTTGACTTTGCTTTTGTACATTAGCCTGGTTTGATAGCAATGGTCGCAATTCTTAGTGCTTTGCCAAGGTGTTCATCAGAAATCTTTATGAAATTTTACTGTGTTTGATCCTTGAGAACAGTTGTTCACAAATATGCGTATGGCCAAAGAGCAATGGCATACTGATGAGGTGTGATTGTGAAGTGAAGATCTGTGAAGATAATTCTCTTTGGTAAAATAGGGCTTATAGGGGTCCAACAGAGAAACATGATCACGCTTTAACTCAAATATACCAAAGAATTGGTGATTTTTTCCTGCAGACTTGAAACCTATTCTCAAATTACTAATCAAAATGGAAAGCACAGCTGCATATTTTTCGCTGTTCACAGGACTGTGTTTAAGCAATATGCCTCAATACATGCAATTATTTGCCTTAACTTGAGCCTTAAGTGCACTGCATCCACGCCATGCCCTGCTTTCATTCCAGGCAGTGCCAGTTGCACACTGCTGTTTGGTTGTTGCCGGCAGTGGTTGCATGCTGGAGGCGGGGCTGGGCTACTTGGCAGGGCAGAGCCACTGCTGTGATGGTACAGGGCAGGGAACAGCTGCAGGGCAGGCTGGGCCAGGCTGTGTGTGGGCTGCAGGTTGGACAGGTGTGGATTAGACCTCTGAAGTTGTGTACATTGTGGAAAGTTAGAAAGCAAAGACATGATCTAATTCTATTAAATTATTTTTCTTACAAAGCACATTATGTTTATGGCGAGGTTTTATCACTATGATAGTTTTAAATGTATCTGTCTCTTCTTCCTGGTGTACTGGATTGAAGGATAGTGAAATTTCCGGGAGCTTTACAAAAGCTCTTAAAGATCTTCAATGGGCTTTCAAGGCACCAAAATTGAGTGCTCTGCTTTACAAGGGTGTTCATTATGCTCTTTCTGTCCTTATGATTAAAATACTGCCTCTAACTTCACTTTTGTTCACGAAGTCCCTTTTTTTTCTTTCACTGTGTGCCTGTTGCATGAATGACAGCTCAAACTGGACAGACATGCAGTTTTTTCTGTCTTCTGCCTAGCTTAGTTGACGTCTTAGAGTTGACATCTTGTTAGGCAGTTTAATCCTTTATGGATATGAGTCAGTATAATTTCTCTTGATGCTCTTTTGTTCTTCTGTTATTAATTCTCACTTTTGTAATGTGATTGCAATCCACATTAATGTTTGTATATAAAATGTCATGTAATATCACCTATCTTGAGGTTGTAGGTGCTGGAAAGATTATTGTGATCAACAGACTGTAAATTTACAGCTCAGGGTAAAACAAGTTAGCTTGATAAAAGAATGATTCTACATTAATGCTGTAGTGGTTTTAATGTTACGTTTTGTTCTATTCTGTCAAGTCAGTGATACTAAGCCTGGGTTACAAGAAATGTTCAAAATCTATATGGATGTCACTAGATAGCTTTAAGTGTTCAGTGTCCCTTGTTACAGGCACATGGTATACAAAGATGTTTCAGTTTGAATGTGTAATGCAATTATGAGGAGCCACTCTAAGATAATTTCTGTAATTAAGTCTACAATTTAGTTTAAATGAGCTGTTGCCTTCTTCCAGGTTCCTTTCTTGCCAGGAGACTCTGATCTTGACCAGTTAACAAGGATTTTTGAAACACTGGGCACTCCAACAGAAGAACAGTGGCCTGTGAGTCCTTTTGTTTAACACTCTGACTTTAATTTTACTTGACTCTACTTTTGCTTTTGAAATTAACTTTAAAAATGTATCAGAATATTTCATTAAGTTCTCAGAATGCAGCTGCCTCTCACAAAGAAAGAAGATAAGCAGCTGAGACTTCTATCTCAGCAAATCTCTAATCATTACAACAGTGTTTTTAGCATCATGCAGCAGTTGAGAGACATCTTAATTTCCTTTCTTGGTCCACAGTTTCCCATGCTATTGATATAAAATTAATATTGATTGCTTAATGTTCTTGAGATTCTTGATATATTGATGTTTTAACTCAGAAGGCTTTAATTGCTTTCAATGTTAGGAACAATTTATAGGACCTTAAGTTGGGCTGTCCAGGTTTTTTATTCGGGATCCATTAAAAGAAAGAAAGACAGTTCTGAGGCAAAATGATTTCTCAGAATAACTCTCTGGTAATATACAGAATTCAGTGTCTGTCACTGCAGTGGACCCTCCTTTTTTTTTTTTTTTGTGATTGGCACCACTGGCTTTCAGTGGCATTGTATCCCTAAGCCTTCATCTGCCACACAAGCTGCATCTAAAACATGAATGATAACCTGTCTAGCTATGCTCAGTCAGAGTAGCTAGGTGTTGTCAGTCATTTCAGGGCACTTTTTTCCATATAAGCTCCAGCCCTCTGTTCATCTTAGTGGCCCTCCTCCAGACCCGCTCCAAGAGCTCCACGTCCTTCCTGTACTGGGGCCCCAGGCCTGGACGCAGTACTGCAGATGGGGCCTCATAAGAGCTGAGTAGAGGGGGACAACCACCTCCCTCTGTCTGCTGGCCACCCCTTTTTTAATGCAGCCCAGAACACAGTTGGCCTTCCAGGCTGCAAGCACACACTGCTGGGTCGTGTCCAGCTTCTCGTCCACCAGGACCCCCAAGTCCTTCTGTGCAGGGCTGCTCTCAAGGAGATCTTCCCTATTTGTATTTATAGAAATACATATATATTTGTATAATATTATATGTATAAATACCTGGCATTGCCCTGGCTCATGTGCAGCATTCTACATTTGGCCTCGTTGAACCTCCTTATGTTTTCATTGGCCCACTTCTCCAGGCTGTCCAAGTCCCTCTGGATGACTTCCCTTCCCTCCATTGTGTCGACAGCACTGCTCAGCTTGGTGTTGTCTGCAGACTTGCTGAGGGTGCACTCGATGCCATTGTCTGTGTCAGTGATGAAGACATTGAAGAGCACTGGTCCCAGGACCGACCCCTGAGGGATCAGGGGTCATTGTATCCTGCAACTGTTCCTCCTGTATGCCAGTTTTCCTTTGTATGAATGGCGCTTAGGTGCTACCTGAGGTGGTCACTAAATGGATCTATAGCTATGTGAAAAAATTTTGTGTAAGGCAATACTAGCCCCACACAATTCTGTTGTGCTAGGATTCTAAAGGGAGGCACAAAGATTTTTGCAGTGATATTTTCTCTTTCTTGGAGGTGAGAAAAGGAGAGGACAGGAAATTCATTAGCACAACAGAGATAATGCATTCTGAAATTTATTTCCAAACCTATGATTTTCAAATATTGAAACCTTTGCAGTCAAAGTTGTAACTGATTGCACACATTTTTACTACAGCATTAGTGTTTTATTTAGCTTGAATAAACTTGATGAGCAAACTTACTGAAATATGTTGATTTAAAGGTTTAAAATACTTACTGACATCTAGATAATTGTCTGTAACTGGTTTAGTTTTATGGTGAAATTTGAATAGAAGGGTTGGTTGATTGTTGTTTTGTGTTTTGTTTTTTTTTTGTACCTAAAGGGGGCAAAAATGCCATTCATCTTTTGTTTAACTGGTTTTTCCTTCCTTCCCTGTAGCCCATAAATAAAACATGCATTTGAAAAAGTAGCTCAAAATGCTAACGATGGATGACAAACTTTGAAGAGGACAGTATATTACCAGGAGGAAGTGCACATTAGCTCCTCTTTGTATCTTGTCTCTTTACCGTCTGCCAGTTTTACTTTGTGCTCACTGTAAAGTTCCTCCATGCTTCCTTTGTTAATTTTGTTTTCTATTGTACTCCTCACTACTGAAGCAGGAGGGTGAAAGATTACTTGGTAATGGATACTGCGTCAATTCTTTTTTTAGAGTAATTTTTATGACCTATTATTCCCACACTCAGGTATTAACAGGGTGTCTTGAAGAACAGTTAGCTTCTGCTTTGGATACAGCTATATGAAGTTTCATTTCTGTGAAAAGCTAAACTCCTTCAATCTTGAAAAACAGACATCCCACTTTTGTGTCTTTGTAGGGAATGACAAGTCTTCCGGATTACGTCACGTTTAAGTCTTTCCCTGGAATGCCTCTTCAACATATCTTCAGTGCAGCTGGAGATGATTTACTTAGTCTTCTACAAGGATTATTTACATTTAATCCTTGTTCTAGAGTTACAGCCACTCAGGTATAGTACACCTGTATGTGTTCTAATCTTCATTAACATACTCAAAACATTAGATAAATGTGTTCTGAAGCTAAGAAGCCAGGTCTGAAATGGAATATCTGTCTGTGAAATACTGTAAGCACATTTCCCACATTTTATACAGAAAAACTTGAAATAACGCTCTCTGATAATCACTGTTCCCAATTATGTAGCCAAGGTAGACAACTAAAAAGTGTATGAGCCAGACAATCATAGTCAACATCTAAAATTCAGTTTCCTAAGATAACGAGTAAATCTTAACATAGTATGTTTTATTCCCTGTTTTAAAATGTTTTCAGCTTTAATTCATCCAGTCTCCAATTTCATTTAAACTTTCTTGGTTCTTTTTTAAAATGGACATCTGGTGATTTAAGCCACTGTCTTGAATTTCAGTTTCTATCTTGCTTGAGTAAAATTGATCTCAGTTTCACTACTGTTTATTGGGTAGAAATAAATGACTTTGAATTAAAATCTTGCAGAATGTTCTGTTCTAGTTGAAAATAGTATTACTGTCGTGGGCTAGGCACGGCAACTAATTCAAATATTTATCACCTCACAGTTATGGGGTAGCATGCACACCCCCACTGCAAGGCTGGGACTCCCTCATGGCTTGCTGGACAAGGCAAATCTCAGTGCTTGTTCGATACCCTTGAACGAATTGACTTTTTGAGAGCATATTGGAGGATTTTGTTTTGTTTTAGTCACCATCTCTAAAAATGTACCTTCCCAAGTAACTAGTTGCAGCATGCTTGAGACAATTCCTATATTAACTCATATATATGAAGACATTTTCCAGGCCATATTGTAAGATGGTGACTTGAATTTATGTGATTTTTCTAGTCTTATGTTTTTAATGACATCTCCACGGTGTAAGGCAGGAAAGCAATTTTTGCATACCATATTGGCTTGATTTATACATGGCATTGAATACTTTATAATTGGCATAAGCAAAAGTAGTGTAGAGCTAACAGACTACATAAGTAAAGCCATAAAGCATAGTAAATGGAAGCTGTGGAACTGCTAAAATTTAAAATAGGGTATGTAATTTTTCTACATCAAGTTAATCTTGCTTACATGCTCATTCAAACCATGTCGTCTTGCATTTTACACTGTAGAAGCAGCACAGTTAATGAATAGGAAGACCGGTTTTAAAAGCTAGCAAAACAATAGTGTTCAAAACTTTGGTTACACTATTTTAATCTCTTTTTCTCACTTCCATCTTTACTCATGTATCTCTTCTCTTTATTCAGAAAGTGAGTTCTTCAGAGCTAGAAACTCACTGATCTCCTGCAGTGTCATCTAGAGTTTTGTTAGAATGTTTGAGTGCTAGCTAGAAGTGAGCTTGCGGTTATCTCTTAGCTAACGAAGTACCATGGTAGTCACTGAGAATATTAAATCTTGCTATCTTTCAGTACAAAGATGCTTAAGTAGTTTCTGAAGTCTCAATTAAAATCTGTTTATTTCATTATAGTCTCTTCATATGTGAAGTTCTGATGCTTACACTGATTACTTTTTTTTTTTTGGCTGTTAAGGCATTGAAACAGAAGTATTTCAGTAATCGACCAGGACCCACTCCAGGATATCTGCTACCCAGACCCAACTGTGCTGCAGAGGCTGTAAAGGAGCAACAACACACACTTTTGAATTTAAAAAGGAAACGAGGAGAGGGAGTAGATCAAGGTAAATTCTTAATGTTTCACCTGTTTTAAAATGGGAACACGAGAGAAAACTGTACTTCCAGTATTTCAAAACATAAAAACTCTCTGAATGGATAATAACCCTGGATACCAGTACCATCTGGAGCCCTTTAGGATTTGTGTTTTCAGATAAGCACTTGAAGGTAAGAATGGCTTAATTCTACAATCTAACAGAATTGGTACCAAAAGACTCTTTTGCTATGCTTTACAGATCTGCTAATTAGAAGAAATCTCTAATACCATTAATCTTTTAATGGAGTGTGGTATGATCTACTAAATGAGAGGCTATCAGACTTTCTTCTTGTTTTCTCAAGCAAACAAGAAAATTCTCTATGAGTTAATAAACTTCATATCACTTAGAAAAAAGAAGGGAGAAATAAGAAATAAATATGGTATTTCTTTTATGTGATAGATTAAAGAATGTAAGTCAAATTTAGAGGGAATTCTGCTATCTCATTTGGACTAGGCAAATGAACTGTTAAGACCATGCAGGGTAAGGAAGATCTCAGTACATTACAGTGATCCTTTTAAGAAGCAAGCCTGTCCCCTAACATTTACTTCCATATGGAACCTCCAGTTTTCCTCAAACAGTGGTACATACTTCATACCCTCATAGCAAGAAAAGGTTTGTGGACTCAGCAGCTGTATGTGACACTAAACTAGTCAGCCCTTGTAGCAGAGAGGCAAACATTAATTCTTGAGCTTGGAATCTGTCATCTTGGCAGCAGGAATTTGCTAGATAGTAGCAATTAGATTAGATTAATAGCTATATAGTAGGTTAATACCAGTTTTGTTTTTACCAGGATGAGGCTGTTTCAATACAAGAGTGTGATATCTTGCTGGAACAGAAATGCTTCCATGAAACTGCATTTCCTCATGAGCTCAGATGGACAACTAAATTATTTAAGTTCATCTTACTGTTCAAGCACTTTGACCCGCTGTGTTAGATTATGTCAAATTACAAGTAAAACGCATTAGCTCTGATGCTAACCTCCACGCAATCCCAGCCCAGATAACAACACTTGTCAGCACCCCTCCTTCTGCACCCCTACCCGGCACAGTGGCACGAGAGACGCACGCCATAGGGTGTAGCTCAGTGCCCATTTATTGCTGCACAGCAGCCGCCTGTATACCTGACACATGACCGCCCCGTGACCTGTTAAGCACCACCCAGAACCACCCCCTGTAGCTACCACCCACCGAAGCCCAAGTGCCACCCACACCAAGCACTGCCCACAAGCTCATTGGCTTAATTTTTCTTTGAATTAGAATCTTTAATCTGTTCACGATTTGCTGCCCTCAGTACCACGGGTCAGCTGACGTGGGAATTTGTCAAGTACCATAGGTAATTCATTAAAGTAATTAGTTGAAGCTTTTTATCTCTTGCACCTAACACCATGTGTCTGCAATTAACATTTTGAGGTCCATGTCCCTAGAATATACAGTTAGCTAAACAACAGGAAAGAGAAAAAAATGCTTCTGAGTTTTGCAGTCTTGCAAAAAAAAAATCTTGAAATCTTGCATTTGTCAGTGAGCAGAGTTTCCAGAGCTGTATCAGAACATGCTTTAACATCTTTACAAAAGTCTGATCTTCAGTAAGGGGAAATCAGATTTCTGCCTCAGACTTTGGACAAGGCTAGGACTTCAGAGTTTAGATATAAATAAGGCATTTAGGAATTCAGCGTTACTTTTTGAGATATTTTATTGTCAGCATGAAAAGTAGCATCACTTGCTTCAAGTGCTTGTTGAAACATGTCAGAAAATTATGTTGTGTTGCTGGTGGAACCTGAATGTATCAAAAGTGTAGATCTTAATAGCCCCAACCAGCTTAGAAAGAGAGAACCAGTGTTACAGCCAACAGATCTGCTCTCCTGGATTTGGTCTGATACCCTTATATGGCACAGTCTTCTGAAGTTAAAATGAAGCGAATATTGGAAGAACCAGTCTTTTTTAAGAGTGCAGCATCTTTTTACTGCTGTTGAAAGTAGAAATGTGCAAAAATCATTTTGAAGTGAGTAATCCCTTGAAATTCTCAGGCTTGTATGTGCTTGTTCTTGCACAGCATCTTCCCCAGCCGGGTTGAGGTAGCACTGCAGAAACTGAGTAGCTTAAACTGGGAAGCGGTCAGTGTCCTCTTGTAAAACCTTGTCATCAGAAACTGGCTGCTAAGAGTGCACTTATGCCATCCCCATGAAGTGCTGCTTTTTCACAAGAAGATTGCCTTGGGGAGTGCTCACTAAATTTAAATGTGCAGCAGCTGTACTTTTCAAAAAAAAGCTATTGCCAAGGGAGAACTAGCAGTACATGAATGAGAGCCTGTAAAAAAGTATTATACATAATTGCTGGCTACTGCTGCCACTTATTTCTAATCAGTAAGGTAGGTGGAGGCACTGATGTCCACTGATTGTTCACCTTTTCCACTCTGGAAAACAATCAAATGGAGCACTTCTTCTTCAGGATGCAAACTTCCAGTCCTGTTAATTTGCATTTCTACAGAGCTGTAAGCTCATAAAATTGAGAATACAGAATACAGCAGTGATCTCTTTCCTAAGATAGTACAGATCTTAGATTAGGCAGGTTTCCTGTGCTATTCTACACTGGCTTGGAAAAAAAACCAACAGCCTATTAATGTCTCAAGGCGCTTCTGTAATTTGGGTGTTTGCTTAAGGTTTGTGGGAATGATTCATTGTTAATTTCTATTAGAGGACTCTTGCTTGTAGGACATGTAAAAATTGTTGGATCCTTCTATGGAAAACTTTGTATCCGTTCCAGAAGGCAGCTGTGGTTTATTCTATCAAGATTATAAATAAGCAGTACATGAATAAATTAGAGGACAGGAGGTGCATTATGCTAATGCAGAAGTGCTGCTGCCCTCATTTCTGCAGTTGATACTAACAGAAATGTGGTTGAAGGTAAGTCACAGACTTAAAGAGCTGTTACCTCCTAAAGACAGTTCTGCTGGGTACTGACTGTGTGTGAAAAAGATCACTCATCATTACCCCTTTACTGTGCTAACAATGTGATTTACACTTTTCAGGACTACCAAAAAAATTGATTTTTTGATTGCTGTGGATGGTGGATGAAAATGAGAGCTCGAGTGACCTGAGTCCCAACCATGAAAAACTCTGTAATAGTCACTGGATGGTTATTTTTAGAATATATTAATACGTAAAACGTGTACGTAATATTTTATTAATACAACTGAAGTTTTTAATTTTTTTTTAAATAAAATGCTGCTTAAAAAGCAAGATGGTCCCTCTCTCTGATTTGCTGTCTCACTGCTTTGACTCATGTTTTGAGGTACAAGTCTGAACCACCTGCATGCTGCTGATTTACACAGACCGATTTTGTAGACCCTTTCTGTTGAATCACATGCATTCCTTTACAGAGGCCCATCCTTCAGAGGAAGATGGCAAATGTGGCACCTGGAGCTTAAATGTACGTGGCTGTCTGCCAGCACTCACAATGTGTGTTGGAAAAACTATATCACTATAAGAGAAAGACGGGAGGCTTTTTGTTTCAGTTCATATGCCAGTGTAACAACTAAGTTTGCATGTACTCACTCAGACAGCTTGCCTTATGAATTTCAAAGGATATGTTCACTGTACTGAAAACAATTGAGACACTTGTTATTTTGTGGCGTGGCAGCTGTGCAAGGCTGTCTGGAATGTGGCTTGTCTTTCACATCACTGTCACCACTGCTGAAAGTCACCATCCACCACTTCACTGTGCACACATCCACTGTTCAATCATAGAATCATAACATGGTTTGGTTTAGAATGGACCATTAAGATCACTGAATTCCAACCCCCTGCTGTAGGCAGGGACACCTCCCTCTAGACCACGTTGCTCAAAGCCCCATCCAGCCTGGCCTTGAGGACCTCCAGGGTGGGGGCATCCACCCTCACTGGGTAACCTGTTCCAGTGTCTCAGCACCGTCACAGTGAAGAATTTCTTCCTATTATCTAGTCTAAATCTACTCTCTTCCAACTTAAAACCATTTCCCCTCATCCTGTTGCTATGTGCCCTTATAAAAAGTCCCTCCTTGTTGCAGGCTAGCAACACGACACAGCGTTCTCGTGCAAAAGATTCCACTTTATTTTCCCAAGCAAGCTTTTTTTATTCCAATGTGTATTCAGTACATTTCCACTAACAATCCAGTGGCTAGAAAGCAAGCAAGTTTTGTAACAAATCTTCATAACAGCATTGAGTTTATCTTATGCTTAGCTGCAAAACATCCTCTTTCTCTTTCCCAGAAAGTTGGCATTCAAAGAGGTCAAACCAACCTCTCCATCCCCTATACCTCCCCAGCTTTCCTGTAGGCTCTCTTCAGGTACTAGAAGGCAGCTATCAGGTCTACTTGGAGCCTTCTTATTTCTAGGCTGAACCCCAGCTCTCTCAGCCTGTCTGCATAGAGGAGATGCTCCAGCCCTCTGATCATCTTTCTGGCCCTCCCCAGAATCTGTTCCAACAACTCCGTGTCCTTGTGATGGGGGCCCCAGAACTGGTTGCAGTACTCCAGGTGGGGTCTTACGAGAGCAGAGGGATAAAATCACCTCTTTCAACCTGTTGGTCACACTTCTCTTGATGCAACCCAGGATGCAGTTGGCCTTCTGGGCTGCAAGTGCACATTGCCAGCTCTTGTTGAGTCTTTCATCTGACATTCCCAAATCCTTCTCCTCAGGGCTGCTCTCAAGCCATTCTCCACTCAACCTGTCTGTGCCTGGGATTGCCCCAATCCAAATGAAGGACCTTGCAGTTGGCCTTGTTGAACTTCATGAGGTTGGCATGGGCCCACCTCTCAAGCCTGTCCAGGTCCCTCTGGATGTCATCTGTTCCCTCTAGCATGTCAACTGTACCAGTCAGCTTGATGTTGTTTGCAAACTTTCTGACAGCGCACTTGATCCCAATGTCCATGTCGCCTACAAAGATGTTAAATAACACAGATCCCAACACCAGTCCCTGAGGAAAGCCACTCGTCACCGGTCTCCATTTGACGTTGAACTGTTGGTCACAACTCCGAGAGCGACCATCCAGCCAATTCCTTGCCCAGCAAGTGGTCCATCCATCAAATCCATTTTTCTCCAGTTTGGCAAGCAGGATGTCATGCGGGACAGTGTCAGCGCTTTGCAGAAGTCCAGATAGATGACATCAGTTGCTCTTCCTTTACTCACTGATGCTGTAACTCTATCATGAAAGACCACCAAGTTTGTCAGCATGATTTGCCCACGGTGAAGTTGTGTTGGTTATCACCAATCACCTCACCTTTATTTTCCAAGTGCCTTAGCAGAGCCTTCAAGAGGATCTGCTCCATGGTCTTGCCAGATACAGAGGTGAGACTGACTGGGCAGTAGTTCCCTGGATCTTCTTCTTCTTCTTCTTTTTTTTTTTTTTTGCTTCCTTGAAAACGGGGTTATTCTTTCCCTTTTCCAATCAGTGGAATGTTTATGGGTCCCCATAAACATTCAGCAAGCATCTACAAACGTCAATTGTTCGAACTGATCTCCTGGGAAACTGTCTTTAGAGACAAAGGAAAGGAACAAAGCTGGCAGCATGCACTGTTTCATGTTTCTGAGAGCACAAGAGCTCTCCTTTTGCCAGCATAAGAAATCAGAGGAGGCAGAAAAACAAGCATGGCTGAACAAGGATCTGTTGAAGCAGTGGAAATGGGAATGGATGGCCTGGAAGGAATCCAGGGATGCTTTCAGGATGTGCAGGAATGGGATCAGGAAAGCCAAGGCGTGGATGGAATTAAGCTTGGCAAGGGTTGTAAAAAACAGGAAGGATTTATTTATGTACATTGGTAAAAGATACAGTCAAAGAAGAGCGTACCCCCTCTAATAAATGAAAAGGAAAATCTAGCCTCCTCAGCTGTGGAGAAGGCTGAGTAATTTAATGAATTCTTTGCCCCTATCTTCACTGCCAATCAGGTTTCCCAAGTCTCTTGTGTCCCTGAACTTCCAAGGAGGGCTCAGAGCATCAAAATCTTCCTAAGTGTAAGAGTGAAGCAAGCATTCATGAGAATGCACATGTACAAGTCTACGGGGCTGGATGGTATGCATCCCAGTGTCCTGCAGGAGATTTCTGAGCCCCTCTCTGTCATGTTTGAAACTTACGGTTGTCAGTTGAAGTCCTCAGGGACTGGAAAAAGGGAATCAGCGCTCCCATTTTCATGTAAGGGAGAAAGGAAGACCTGGGGAACTACAGTCCAGTGAGCCTCACCTCTGTGCCTGGAAAGGTCAAGGAGCAGATCCTCCTGGAAACTATGCTAAGGCACATGTGAGATGAGGAGGTGATCCAAGACTGCCAGCATGACTTCGGCAACAGCACATCATGCCTTATTATTCTGGTGGCCTTCTGGCATGGAGTGATGGTACCAGTGGACCAAGGAAGGGCAACTGATATCATCTACCTGGACTTGTGCAAGGCCTTTCACCATCAAAACTTCTCCCATGAAAAGAGGAGTGGCCATCAGGGAGAGGGAGGTGATTCCCCCCTGCTCTGCCCTCATGAGGCCACATCAGAACTACTGTGTCCAGGCCTGTAGTCTCCTGCAAAAGAAAGATGCGGAGCTAATGGAGTGGATCCAGAGGAAACCCATCTAGATGATCAAAGGCAGGAGCACCTCTCTTATGATGAAATGCCAGGATTGATGGGTTCCTGGGCAGCTTGAGTCGCTGGCAACCCTTCCTGTGGCAGGTGAGTTGGAACTATTTGATCTTTGAAGTCCCTTCCAACCCAAGCCATTCTGTGATTCTAACTAGCCCAAACCCCTGCCAAAGCAGTTCCCTACAGTAGGTTGTCCAGGCGGGTCTTGAATATCTCCAGAGAAGATTTGTCAGCTGCCCTGGGCAGCCTGTTCCAGTACAAAGCCTTCTGTGTCACAGAAGGAACAAAAACTGCCTTGCTTTTGATGGTGATGTTGCCCATAGATAAAGTATATGTACACCACAGTAAGATAAGATTAGAGAAAGCGTCAGCACAAGGGTTTTTGTTGGTTATTCTTTTATTCCAGGCTTTGGAATAGTTTGACTTAGCTTTTGTGTCTTCAATCAGATCTCTGGAAGGAATATTTAGGACATCTGGTAGCTATAGCTTAATATGCAATTAGTTACCTGAATACTGTCTGTGACAAGCTTGCTTTGCAAGCTTTCAATTATGCAAATCATACTTCAGCTTTAACTATATTTTATCGTGCCAGCTCATTGAGTATATAGCTATTGCAACCTCCTTGGCTTCTGTTCAGAATGGCAACAATTAATAGTTGTTACATAAAATAAATATTTTGAGCCTGCAATGTATTTGCTTATACAAAGGTCTCTCTCATACACTTACTCAAAATGGAATGTAATCTAAATGCCTCCTCTCTTGGATTGAGACCATTTTCCTGTCTGTTCACTTGTATGTTTTTTTGTTTGCTTTTATCTGTGAATCACTACTGTTTCTTTCTGAATTTTAGTACTTTCCTTGGCAAACCTTACCTTGAGATCTACTGATACTGGAATTTGAGAAACTCCTATGCATTGCATTGATATTCCTTGTATAATTTAATCAAAACTGTTTCTTTCTGCCACTATATTGCCTCAATAAAAGCAGCAAAACTCATTCTAAGAGCACAAAATGCAGAAGGGGAAAGAGCTCTGTTTTAAACAAAGCACTGCATTTTTTTTTGCAGATACTGGGATTTCTTGTGGTGAGTTGGAGAACCAGGGCTGCTGGCTATTGCGTCCTCATCTTGTCTCCTCAATTCTTCATTACTGTCAGTGCTGTCTGGCAGTCTTCATGCTGTTTTGACAAACAAGCTTAGAGCCAGTTGGAATAGTAACACCGTTGATTTGCATTTGCCCTACACTTTTAGCTGTCCTGTGGCCTTGGTTCTGTCAGCACTCCAGGGAGCTTTGCTAGTTCTTCCTTCTACGTGTGCTTGCTCTTAGATTTTGTGACTGTTCCTGTTCTCTTGACTTGCTGCCCTCTTAACTTCTTGACTGCTTCTGGTGGTGCATGGTCACTTACGCTTTGTGTACTCCAATGTAAAGGCTCTTTTATAAATCTCTACAGTAGTAGCTGGCTTTACCATCAGCTTCTTAACATTCATTTGCTTCTCTGAGGAAGGGGAGGAATTCCACAGAAGCAGCTTTTTTTTTGAGCAGCTTTTCTTTCAATCCCTCTGTTACCTCTTACATGTCTTACATGTCTGAGGTAAGTAAGGTGTGCTCTCCATATGGCTGTAATAAAATCACAGGATAAA